CTTGTTTATTCCCTGCTATGAAAACTTTGGCCTGAAAAGACAAGACAAGATGGTCTGTTAGGGTATGAACCCGCCATCTTCTCAGATCGCCAGCCATCTAATAAAGTGCCCATAAAGATTCAATCCCTGTCTCTGCTTATTGGGATGGTAGTGACAGGCAGCCTGAACTCTGGCATCTTTTCCATTTACAACCTTAGAAAGGCCTGCCCTGATGACAGTATCTAAATGAACACACGAATGGAACGCATCTGCTGAGGCCATCGTCCCCTAAAACTGCAGCCTGATAAGACCATACCTGGAAGAGGCTTTTTCTGAAAAAGACAAACAACCACAAAACCTGTATTTTAACCAGGTTAAGGCTGGGCGATTCGTAATCTGTTCTCAGCGTCCACTTCTCGGGGCCCAAGAACTATATTGAAACGGGTGATTGCTATGGACATCCGGCTGCCCTCCAGGCTCCCTGGCCCGGAGAGCAGAAGAGTTGGAGTAGCCTTTGCTCCAGTGACCAACACAAACACGTGCGCACGCGCGCACGCACGCACGCACGCACACCCCACCACACGGTGCCGTCAAGCTTTCTATCAAATAGCTGGGCAGACACAGCAGGGTGTAAACATGGGTAGTTTCATTTGCAACTTCTAAGCCACAAAAACATCAAGAAAAAGCTAAAACAGAGAAGAATTTTCTAGGACTTCTCAGTACTGTAAATGATTACTCTGAGTTCTTCTCGAAGAATCTGGTTTATCTTTTTCCTAAGCACAGGTGGCCCCAGGCCCTTCCTGTACTTTTGAAGATTACCTGTTGATTTCAGCCCCAAGGTGGGGGGCGGGGCAGGAAAGGAACCGAAGTTGGAAAGTCTTTGTCCTTTTTGCCTCTCCCTAGGGGGACGCCGTGACTCTGCAAACCTCCTGGGTCCGCACAAAGCCTTAGGGGTGGAAAGGCTGAAAAAAAAAAATTTTTTTTAATGCTTTTCCTAAAACCCTAGTTCCTCTCCTTTTCAATGGGTGGGGAGCTGGGATAAGGCCCTGTTGATTTGTTTATCATTCCTGCATCTGCCTGTTGGTTCATCTGGTCATTCAACTACTTGGATGAATTATTTTCACCCTTTTCTCTGAGCCTGGCGCTGCTCTCAAGGCTGAGAAGGGGCTGACTGGGGTGGGCTGAAGGGCATGGTTCCTTCCAGAAATGAATCATGATAAAAATAGAACAGGGTTTTAAAAGTTAGATAATCACATTCTAAAGTGCACACGTAGAAGTAAATAAATGAGCCCATCCCTGAAAAAGAAAAGTAACATAGTCCTAACATATGATATACCTTCCATAACAGTACGGTTACTAGGATTTTGTGAAGAGAACAAAGCAGGATGCTGGCAAACAGACCCAAGTGTGAGAACATAACATGCCCTGAGGTTGGGGCCTCTCAAACCAGAGACGGGGTGAGCTGTTCAATAAATGGTGTGGGACAACTGGGCACCACCTGGGGAAATCAGGACGTCACACCTGCTAAAAAACCAGTACATTTGACGAGGCAATTGGCTTCAAGCCAATTCAGGAATCGCGCAGCATCGCACTTAGCAATGAGAAGGACGTGCAAGTTGTACAAAATGCGAGGTTTTTATAGCGTCGAGGTAAGAAACATTCAAAGCTGTAGAGAATGTGAGTTTATTTGAACCAAACTGACGACAATTGCTGGGGAGCAAAACCTCCATGGAGGGAAGAGATGCTGTGGAAAATGGCGGTTCTGCACCTTCTCTTAGACGTTACAATCTGTGAAGGCGTGAGAGGCTTTACCTGAAATCCCCGGGTCATAGATTAGGGAGGCGGGAGTAAGCAAAGGGAGGGGGGAACATCTGGAATTGGATAAAAGGTAAAATGATGGGCACAAACTTCTGCTACACAGGTGGGTGAAGGGTCGTTACACTCGACAATTAACATAACAACAGTGAGAGGATTTGTGGCCTCCGCTCTGGTGTCCTTGTTGTGCCCGGAAGGGTCTGAAAAGAGGGAGGTTACCTTGACTTTCCAAAGACAATAGACAGGCTTAATTAAGGGAAAGGTGGCCTTTTATTAGGGAAAAATACCGCCAGGAACTGCTTTTAGTTAGAAAGTTTTCATTTCAGACCATCCTTTGTGCTTACCTTTGGTCTCTGAGTTTGTAAGGCCCACCACGCAGCCTCCCCGGAGCCTGTCGGGTTTCACACGTGGCTCCCTTTTGTCCACGCATGTTTGTGAATGAAGAAATGCATGGATTGCCCTTGAGCTGAACTTCTGTCATCTAAAACAGAGGTGATTGTTTAGCGTGTTTCGCTATCATACAAAACACCATTATTCCTGCTGGTACGGGTGGGAAGCCAAGGCATAGTCAATTTCTCAACATCAGATAATTCGTTTCGTTCATTGCCCAGATATTATCGGGCATACACTGTGCAGCAGACACTCTTCTGGGGGCTTGGGATACATCATGTCAACCTAGAACGTTCAAATGTGCACAGAATGTTGTAAGGATTTATTTGAGGAAACCTGACAACAGTTGCCAGGAACCGAAACCTCAGATGCTCTGGAGAATGAGAGTTTACGCACTTGGAATTAGGGGGGGAACAAAAGGAAGAGGACCGGAAGGGGGGGAGGCCGCAAGGTGAGATTGGGTTACAGGAGTTAACAAGATTATGTGCTCTCTTGAGGGTGCTTACACCTTCGGGGGTATTACTTCCAGTAATTCAAAAATGTGTTAATTTAGATGCATGAGAACAGTGGGTAGAGCGGACGTAGAAATCTTTCACTAACGGAGTTACAGGCCTGGCTGTGACTACCCACCAGGATCTGCCCAGGTAGGTCTCCCTATAAAGTGACTTTCCGCACCACTCCCTGTTTAGTCCTCGGCCTGAACAAAACAGGCAAAGATCCCTGCCCCTCCTCGGAGGACTCTGACTGGAGCAGTGACAGGCTTGAAGGACAGAAGATCTAAAATTCTGAACTCTGCTCGGTTGGGCCCGTGTGGGCCTGCTGTTCAGTGGCCTCATAGCTGCTGGGCCCTCAAGCTAGATCCAGGCCAGAACAGATTGGACCCCACCCTCCCCTGCCCCCAGGCGCACGCCGGTTCCTGGAACGGCCCACAGCCCTGCCCCAGGCGACCAGGTAAGGCTTTGTCCGCTTAAATGGGGCAGGTCACAACCCGGATCCCCCAGCCATCCTTCCCTTTCCACACCTCTTCAGCCGCCTTCCACGTGGCACAGAGGATCCCCCGGGCATCTGCCTCCTTTCCAAACCAGCTTGGTATGTAGGTTCCCTTAACAAACTGATAATCCCAGAGTTATCAGACTCTTGGGTCTCTCGGCCCTGGGATTTACCGAAGAGTTTGGGGACAGCTTTGGGTTCCTTCCTCCCTCCATTTTAGGACCAGGTCTGGATTATTTCTGGATTTCGGGCCCAGGCGGGTCTTTGAGACTCTGATCTTTTAGAACAGCACCGAGGGGGCTGCTGTTCGCGCTGCGGGCAACGGCAAAGAGAGAGAAGCCATAACTAGCAAGAAGAGTTGTTTCCGGTTTTAAGTGTCCCCTTTTCTTAACATGAAAGTTTAAAGTGCTAATTTTTCCTCTCCCCATTAAAAAAATTATTACTTGACTGGTAATACCTAACAGGCTACCAGAAAGACACCGGCAGTCCAAGAGAAAAGTTAACTGGCGGAAGCAGGGGAAACCGTGAAGGAGAGGAATGGGAGGTGTCTTGGAAAAGGGGTCTTTCTTTGGGGGTTGAAGCTCGGGCTGGGTGGTCCTGGGGGAAGAGAAGGCCAGCTCTGGGGTAGGTTCTGTCAGGAGGTGGGGGCGCAGTTTAGGAACTGGGAGTCTTGTGGAGGTAGGAGGGAGAGACAAAGCAAGAAAAGCTCTAATTGCTCAGAAGAAAGCATTGTTAGTCATTTTGCAGCCTTGGCGTGGCCTTGGGAGAAACATTGTTTTCTGACAGGTTTGTCACCTTCCTGGTTTGTGTCTCTTAGGCACAATGTGGTCTATCAGGGGAGCAGATTTTCACTTTCTCAAGGCAAAAAAATGCAGAAAGGCAGATTTAAGGGTTTGTGAATAACTGCTTATGGAACCTTAGGATATAGTATGCAGCATCTGAGTGGGCATTCATGGTGAAATAGGATTGGGAACATTTTAATTTTCATGTCTTAAGCATACTCTTAAAACCTGGAGTATCTCGGACACCTTTTGTTACTATCGAGTATTAACTGCAGTGTGAGCACAGGGGTCAGGGTTTTACATGGACTTACACTGAACCTTCGTTGTAACCTTACAATGAAGCCTTACAATGTAACCTTACATTGAACCTTCTCAGTCATCTGGGTTAGTTATTGTAGATTTATTTTTTAAGCTTATTTTTAGAGATAAAGGAGGGTCGCTAAGAGGTAAGTTAACTTGCTCAACGAGAAGGAGCTAAGAACGGGAAAGGCTGGGATATCGGAGATGGGACTCCAGATCTTTTGCTAACCCACCAGGCTAGTCTCTTCGGCTTTGACATCACACCTTCGATTGGGGGAGTAAGAGGGAACATTTACTGTTCATTGTCTTCAGGCATTAAGCTCAGTGACTGCTATGCTAGTCTTAAAAAGTCCTCAGAAACCCTATGAGACAGAGCCTACTATTCACACACACCCCCTTTGAGAGATGGGAAAACTGAGGCTCAGAGACCATGGGTATCTAGCCCAAGTTCACACTGCTAGTAGACTGGCAGAGCTGCTACGTGGGAAAGTCTGAATTCAAATCCAGATCCTAAGTCCCCGCTCGCTCCCAGCCACTTCACTGGTTTAGCCTCGGCTGAGAAGCATGGGCCAGGGTCAGCATTCTGGGAATTAGGTCTTCGGTTCTCCGGAGTGGGGCCCGGGCGGGGGAGGGGAGGGACCGGAGGGTGGGGCCCACCTGGCGGCGCCCCGGCTCCGCCCCGCCCCTCTCGGGCGGCGGCCTCCTCCACCAATCAGAGAGCGCTGGGGGCGGGCCGCGGGCGCTCCGGCTCCGGCCCGCAGTTCGAGCGGCGAGAGCGCCCGGAGACGCGACGCGGTGCCGAGGGGAGCGAGCCGGCGCTTCAGTCTCCTGCCTCTCCCTTCCCCTCCTCTCGCCGCCCTGTCCTGCCCGCAGCCGGACCGGAACTATGTGATCCGGAAGTTCCGGTGCCATTGCTGTGTGGGATAAACAGTAATGGCGGAGGCTGCAGCTCCCGGAACAACAGCCAAACCATCAGGAGCGGCAGCGGCGGCGGTGGCAGCGGGCTCCCCCACCCCTGTCCCCACAGTCACCTCCCCGTCCGCGGGGGCGGGGGGCGGGGGAGGCGGCGGCGGCTGGACTAAACAGGTCACCTGCAGGTGAGACGTCGTGGGGCCCCGTACCGGCGCCGGGAGGGGGGGCCGATGCCGCGGAGGAAGCGGGTACCCGGCGTTTCGCCGCCCGCGCTGCGTCAGCCCCCGGCGCGCGCGCCCCCGCTGCCGAGCCACCCTCCCCGCGCCCGGCGCACCGCTCGGCTCGCGGAGGGAGAGGTAGGGGGCTCCTCCCTCCTTTCATTGTCGCCGATCCTCGCCCCCTGCCTCCGGCTCTGCGAGCTCGAGACCGGGTGGCTGGTGTCGCTCGGCGCCGGCCTCCCCGGGAGCCTGCCGGGCCGGGAGCGCCGCTTGGGTCCCGGCGAGGTGGCCTTGCTGCGGAGCCCCGCAGTTGAATCGTGTCATCCGTTTGTAACGCCTGCTCGCGTCTCCGCCCCCCACCCCCGCCTCCAGAAGTAGCTTTTGTTACTTCTTCTTTGTATGTTTAACGAGGTTGGCGGTTCTGAGCTTTGTCTTAGAACGGAATGCCGGGCCGGGATCCTACCGTTCGCCTTAAATTTTCCCCTCGCCGGGCGAAATGTTTGTCTTTTGAAATCCACGCCTCTACCCCCTAAAGGGAGTCAGAGACCTCGCTCCCGGAGGGAGAGGTTTTTGTTTTGGTTTTTTATGTCAGATTAAAATGTTTTTTAAGAATAAGTGATCAGTGAATGGCGGTTATATGAACGTGTGTGCCCAATGTTAAAAATGATCAAGTTGCACATATAAGGTTAGGGCGTTTAATTGGATATTATACTTACATTTTTTAAATGTGATCAGTAGAAGTAGAAGCTTTCGTTTGCAAAAAAAAACCCAAGTGAAATTCTGGTATTTGTCTACGTGGGATAATTTATACGCATAAACGTAAAGGTACTGAAGCCCTCCCTGTCTTTAACGCGGCTTAGTTAATGCATGAATGATAAGCTTAATTTCGTTTATTTTCAGTAACGGGATGGAGAAGGCAAACGTTGTTTTAGGTAGATCCTAAGAATGAAATCAAGTGCCCAAATGCTGTGTCCCCCAAATGAGAATTAAAAAATTCCCTTTCGTGTAACTAATTACTTGAATCTGTATTTCTCTTTACAATGTTGCGGTTGTTTATAAGTTCTAGTTTTAAAAATAAAAAAGCTAGTGTAACCGCTTGACAGCCGTTCACCCTGCAGTCCCTGGCTACATCCGTGCACTGAAAGTGATCTCCCTTGAATGGGCAGCCTCTCTAAGGACCCCGTGCAGTGCCTCTTTCCTTCCTTTCTCTGGTTTAAATACAGTCCAGAAAGCCCCATCGCCATCCTGACATCCTTATTGTTCTCTGTGTCTGTAACTTGAGTCCAACTCTACCTCTGCACACAATTCATAGTCACTTCCTACACTTTCTCAGCTGTCCGGTACTTTTCCCTGTTGTGTTTCCCCTTTTCTGGTTCCTCACCAGTAACATCAGAATTCAGGACAGAGCTAACCAGACTAGTCAGTGCTCTTTGCCTACCTTTAGGCTCTTTGAGTTAATGAAATGTTCTAGATTGTTCATAGACCAGTGGGAATTCCTTGCCTGTGAACCAACTGATTTATGTATTTTACATAGCTGAGGAATCCGATATTTTGGGAAAAAATACTTTAGAGGCTTACATGTGCAGGGTTTTGTTTTGGATCGTTGTTAATATTTTACACGTGCAAGTTGATATGTTGGGTTTTAATGCTTGACTTTGTTTTCAGTTTTTCTAGGGACCATGGTCTTTAAATAATTTTTTTCCTGAACAGAGGAGTTCCACATACGGTATCTTTACTTATTCTAGACTAGAGCTCTCTGAAAGCAGGGCTTCCTCAGTACCTGGTACACTCAGGAAATACCTGAATTCATGTTGATAAATCCACACCTGATGAGTCATCTGCTTTTGTTTACTGAAAGAACACTGGTAAACTAGCAGAGACAAAGGACTCACTGGGACCCCTCCTTCAGTTAACTCGGTAAAAAAAAAGCACAACTGCCAAAGATGAGAGGGGGCCAGATGTCAGAGGGAATGCAGAAGTTCCCTGTGTTAGGAATGCTGTCGGTGCGTTTGATTAGCTAAACCTCCTGTGAAGAAAATTCAGGCTAACGATGTGTTCTAGAGTTTGTGCCTGTTTGCCCCCTTGAAGCCTTTTGACTAAGGCTCTTTTCTCCACCTAGAGTATAATCTTCTTAGAAGTGAGAAGTAATTTGGATGATGGCTGTTTGTTTTTAATTGCTCAGGGTCCATCCGTGTTGTGGGGTCCTAGTTTCATTCTCTCAGATCTATTTCATTGTGTTTTGTTTCTGCAGCTTAAGAAAAACCTAAAACCTTTCCCAAGGAACTGTATTATGCTGCCCCCACCCGGTCATTTTTCATACCCTTTATTAGAAGAGTCCTGGGAAAGGCTGTCGTTTCTCGCTTCCTTGAGTGTGTGGTGGGGATTCAGACATTACAACTTAGAGCTGCAACTTGCAAATTGTAATTTTAGGTGTAGTTAATATAGCTTAAAAATGAAGGAAATTCTTCAGAAGGTCTTCATCCAAGCTCTGTGATATCTGTAGTTGAAATTCATTACTCACGATTCCATACGGTTTTTGAAGGGATGGCATTGAAAAGGCTATCCAGCCAGGGAGCAGCACTGCGCCGCTGTCACTGAGTGATTCGCCGAGACGCCTGGCTGTCTCGTACAGTTGTTTGTTTGTTTCTTTGTTTGTTTGTTTGTTTTTAAACAAATGTGCAGAGGTACTGCGGATGAAAGCGGAATGAAGCATGGTTCTTAACCACCAGGAATTTACAAACTACTTTGGGAAACAGGATACATAGGAAAAAAGTCGAATAACAAAGTAAGAAATGGAACAGCAGATTAAGTGATTAAAAGCCAAGTTAGTTAATATTCTGTAGTTTCTGTAAATTCCCAAAGAGATTCTGACACCCAGAGGCACTGTGAGGGAGCTTGGTTCCACTGTGCCCTCCTGCACCGCCCTTGGGGTTTCTTGTAATGTGTCCCGGGGGGCCCTGCTCAGGTTTCCTGGGGGTACAGCAGTAAGGGGATTCTTGTCTGTTGCATTTGTCTTTATTACTGGACAGTGTATGCTTGAAGTCATAGAATCTTAAAGGTGGAAAAAACTGTGTATTTATTATTTATTTTATAGAGAGGAAGAGAGATATCAGGTCTTTTGTACTTGTCCTGCCCAGGGACCTAACCCACAACCTAGGCGTGTGCCCCGACCAGGAATCCAGCCAGGAATCGACCTGTGACCTTTCACTTTGTGGGACGCTGCCCAGCCAGCGGAGCAGGTCAGGGCCAGGTGGAAGGAACTTCAAAAATCAATGGCTCGGTCAGATTCTCTAGGAGAATTTGAACAGTAGCTTTTTGGTGGTGGCATTTGAAAACAAAAACAAAAGCACTTATTTTTATTGTTTTCATTTTGGGGAGAAATTCTTGAAGTGGGTTGCCTTTTTCTTTTTCCTGTTCTAACTTGCACTAATTTGTCAGTCTCTTACGGACTTACGCAGAGATGGGTTGGCGAGAAGGGATTTTCCTGTGATGAGGGCTGTCTTCCCCTGTGGGTGTGTACCACCATTGTGAGCGTCCCCCGTGAGACAAAAGGCAGGAACCTAAAACCCTGACCGTGAGGACCAAAGAGCCCTGTGAAATAGCCGTTGGCATTTGGCAGTGAGTAATTAGGGCTTGTATTCTAGTTTCTGTTGGTTCTGAAGGGTCAGGTGACCTCGTGCCTGCTGGGACTCCTTCCGGGATGCTCCTGTGGACCCTGTGGACGTCAGGAACCTCAGGCATCGCTGGGTGGTTCTGGGTGCAGTGCTCACGTCCAGCCCGATTGGTGACGGAGCATCCTGCGTGTATTCATTCTGTCAGGAATGTGCTGGAAAAGGTCATTCCTTTGTCTTCTCTTGGCTAAACTCCAGTCACTTAAAATCTTGTGGCATGATGTGTAGGTCTCTTTAATGTCATGTTTTAAAATTTAAATCTGATTTCTGGCACTTCTGGTGAAATATTCTTACGGTGGTTTCTTACTGCTCTAGGATAACTTGGCCTACAGCGCCCCACAGAATCGTTTCCGTAGCATCTAGCCCCATTTCTCCCCAAGTTTGCTCCTGCTCTCTGTTCACCCCTGTCTTTCATGTGCTGTATTATGCTCTTGGCAAAAAGTGACCATAGGCCGAGCTACACTGTCCTGGGCCAGCCAATCTATTTCACTCTTTCCTTTTGGGTGCTCGAGAAGTTTACACCCATGGTGGACGACCAAAAGTAACACTGGGGTAGGCCTTGAAAAAACAGGAAGGGAGAGTGTAGGTATTAGGGAGTTGAGGTCCTTGCAGCAACTGATGGAAGAAACAAGGTTAAGGTCGGCAGCTGTCAGCAGCGATTCCTGGAAGATGTGATTTGACATGAAGAGCATCATCAGCCTAAGTGCAGTGGTGGGATGAACAAGACTGTGGTAGAGTTGGACTTAGAGACAAACCTAACATTCCAGGGGTTGTGCCTGAGAGTGATCTCTGCGGGTGTGTGTGTGTGTGTGTGTGTCTAATCTTTATTGTATTTTTATTGCCCTTTAGTCCCCTTGTATTCTCCTCCCCCAGCAGATAGATATACACACATATTTTGTTTTTTGATATATATATATATTATTTTTCTTTCATTATTCAAGAGAGGGGGAAGGAGAAAGAGAAACACTGATGGGTTGGTTGCCTCTTGCGTGCCTCCCGACCAGGGACCAAACCCACAACCCAGGCATGTGCCCTGAAACAAACGGGACTTGGCGGTTTGCGGGATGACACCCAACCAACCAACTGAGCCACGCTGGCCAGGGTGCTGGGTAGATATTTCATCCAGCCTTAAAAACACATGCATCTCTAGCTTGAAAATGGCCCCAAGGAAGCAGTGAAGTTACAGACACTTGTTTAGAATGGGAGAGTGGAAGTGTTCCCCCCACCCCAGTGGGGTTGGGGGCAGCAGAAAGCAACTGTTCAAACAGGGACAATTTTAAATGAATGCCCTGTTTTCAACTGCGGATACTTTTGTAAATACTTAGAAGCATGATTGTGTGGCAGTGGTTACAATGTAACTATCACTGACTTGTTTTGTTAAGTGTTAATCTCTTCAGGGAGGCAGTCAAGTAATTAATTTATCTGGCGGTTCAGTGGTGTAGCTGAAACTGGGCGACACAGCTCCCAAACAGCTGCAAGGCTTGCAGAATGGAGTCCTGTAGTTAAGTAAAAGTTGCAACCCAAATTCAGTTCAGTTAAACCTAATAACAATTGGGATTAGAACTATAGTTTGAATTCCTACCTGTTCTTTTATTTTGTTATAGACTGCAGTCTTAGGGCATTTTAGGATCTTGAAAATAACTTTCCACCAGAATGTTGGTCTTTATTTCCATGTTACCTACCGTGAATATCCATGTAAGTAAAACAGTCACTTTCAGGAAATCTCTGAAGAGGACCATGTGCATCTTAATCCGAGGCAGCCTTCTTTAAGGCTGCTTTGGTGACTGAATCTATTTTCTATGTATCATTCCAATCAGTGGGCAAGTGGAATGTGCTTACTGATATTCTATCTACACCGGCTGAATGGAGGTGCATATTTGGGTAGGTGTTGCCTACCAAAATTAAATCTTTATAACCCTGCTCAAGAGAGACTGAAAGGCCCTTGTTACTTCCCTAATCTGCAGAGCGACTTACAGAAATATGCAGGTTGCTGCTTGCCTTAACACCCCTACCCCCTGTCCCAGGGAGCTGCTGCTGGTCCTGGCCCACCCAGGAACTACCGAGTCACGCTCCGATGCTTGGATTGTGGAAACTTCTAGTTAGTACACATGTGCTCCTTTAAAGCAAGGGAACAGTGGTCTGCTAAGTAGACAACATAAAATGATATCCCTTTGTGTCTACTTTAGCAGCAAAGTTTGCTTGTGTTTTCACATGTGGCTTTTTTTTTTTTAAGAGGGGAAGGGAGGGAGAGAGAAAAATCAGTGTGGGGTTGCCTCTCACATGCCCCACACTGTGGGGACCTGACCCGCAACCACACAAGTGCCCTGACTGGGAATCTTACCCGCAACCCCTTGGTTTTGCAGGCCAGTACGCAATCCACTAAGCCACAGCAGCCAGAGCCACATGTGGTTTTGAAAGAATCAAATTGTGAAACACACAGTGGTCTTGACCTTGTCCAGCTTCCGTTGTTTTTCTTTTGTATAGCCAGAGCTACTGTTATGGCTGAAGTTAGTGAAAAGTAAGAAGGTGCCCTACCAGGACTGTAACGGGAGGACAGTGGTCAGACTTAGCCTCGCGAGGCGAGGTTAATGGCAGCCTCACGGTTTAAGTCTAGATGGGTGGCCGGGTCATGGTCTCATTCTCCTTTTTTTGTGCTCATTGGGCGTCTTTGTGTAGAGTATCCAGTGCTGGTGTATTACTGGTGGGGTGTTTTGCTCATGAGTCTGGAGAGTGTTGCCTTTCCTCTGTTCTCGTCCCACCTTGTGGCTCTTTGTCTCACAGGTATTTCATGCACGGGCTGTGCAAGGAAGGAGGCAACTGCCGCTACTCACACGACCTCGCCGACAGCCCGTACGGGGCCGTATGCAAGTATTTCCAGCGAGGGTGCTGCATTTATGGAGACCGCTGCAGGTGAGGGGCGCGCACGGGTTGGTTTTGTGTGGGGGTGGAGGTGGGGGTGAGGATACATAATCCCGGCAGCTTTATGAAGTTTCGAGGTTTGAAAAGGACTTCGTTAGGAATGTTAGCGCAGACATATCTCTCAACTGGAGGGAATATATTTTTACATTTTGCAAAATGAATTTATGGTACAATCCTAAGTTCAGTTGCTGCCTGGGGAGCAGGTTCTGCGCACACACCCAGCGATGAGGCGTGGTGAGTGTGTTTGCACATGGCGTTTCCTTTTTAAACCGAGAGTGAAGCACCTAGTGGACCAAACAGGGCTTTTCAGTTGTCGTCTGTTCGTATGTGTCATGGAGAGAAAATGGGTCCCAGGCTCTAGGTAGTGTATTAGGGCTTCTCGTTCCAACTAAGCTTCCCCTACCACACCGTACACACACGCTCCCCAAGCTCCCAAAACTAATTATAAGCTAAGATTTAGAGAAAATGCCCCAAGAATGTCTCTGGTATCAAGAATGTTGGAGAACCAAGAAGAATTAGTATTATTATTCATTTACTTGGTACCAAGAGCCTGTTAACTTGCTTTAGAATTGGGTAGAGTTTTCTTTCTATTCCCAGTTCAGAAAATATCTAGTTGTACTAGTCATTTCTTGATGCTACACAGATGATCCCAAAAGTTGGCAGATTATAAACAGTACGGTGAGTGGTTTCCGGGGGCCTGGAATGTGGGGGCGGCTGGCCTCGCTGGGTGGTTCTGGGTCAGCCTCGAAGGAGGTGTGCGGTCAAGATTTTGGCCAGAGCTGCAGTCACCCGCCGTCTTGACCAGGGCTGCAGTGGCACTTTCCAGGTGACCGTCAGGGGGAGAGTTTAGTTCCTCACCTTTTCGGACTTTTCCCCATGGCCACTATAGTGGCCTCATGCTTGACAGGCAGCTTTCCCCAGAGCAAGTGACACGAGGGAGCTAGCCGGGACAGAGCCACCTGGCGTAGATGAGCGGTCTCAGAAATCACGCTCTGCTGGTTCCACTCTATTGCTGATTACAAGCAAGCCACTAAATCCAGCAAGAGGAGCGGGATCGGGCTCCACCTTTTTTGGAGGGAGAGGCACAGTGAAATCAAAGGAGGGGCGAGGGGCTCAGGGTAGAACAGAGCGCCTGGGCCGGGCTCCGCTCTGGGAGGAGGTGCGGGCTTATTGGGGGAGTCCGAGGCACGGTGACAGAGGGGAGCCGGGTGGGGCTGCTGCCCTCCGCTCACGGGAAAGTCAGAAAAGAGGGCTTTGGAGACATTCAGGGGTGAGCCCTGGAGGAGATGCACCCTGAGAGGGAAGAAGGTCGTGGGCGTGTTCCAGAGGGACAGCCCACTGGCCTCCGCCTTTCGAAGGGAGGGGTGTCAAAGAAGCGGGGACCTTTTAAACCTGCACACCGGGCAGGCCTTCCGGCAGTGTCATTGCTATTTAGTGTCCCGTTATCAGGAAAGGTTGTGTCGGGTTCGAGTGCTTACAAGACCAGAAATGGTTGGTGAGTGGGATATTATGTGTGGTCACCCCACATCACTTTTCCCAGGAAATCGGGTAAGAATAGAGAAAAAGAAGGTTCTTTTCATGGGTCTGTAGGAACTTAGAAATGGAATTTCTGATCTCTGAGTTTAATAGTCAGTAATTTGCTGAGTAATTTTTTCTCACTGATATTATGCTGGAAAGGAGAAAAATGACACTCTCAAAAAAATCCCTGTAGGCCTTTTTGGAGTCTCGTATTAAAGGCAGGGAAAAACTGTTCGAGCTCCATTCTACTGTGAACAGGCAGTTCGTCGTAATGGGACGGTCTCCGCGGGTTTTCCCGGGTCAGCTTAACTTCGGGGAGCGGACAGTGGAGAGTCTTTGTGAAGTGCGTCTAGGAGAGAGGAATCCAATGTCTCCGAGAGTGGAGGTGTGAGACTCAGGTGCCCGGCAGAGGGGCTGGAGAACAGACCGCCAGAACGAGCAGTATGGCCAGCTACAGACGAGGTTCCTATTTCAGAGGTGCTACTCACATGATTAGACCACATAGGTGGGATGGGTGGGAAAGAATGTTAAACTGGCCCTGGCTGGTGTGGCTCAGTGGATTGAGTGCCGGCCCGAGAAGCAAAGGGTCACCAGTTTGATTCCCAGTCAGGGCACAAGCCAGTAGGGGGGTGCGAGGGAGGCAACCACACATTGATGTTTCTCACCCTCTTTCTCCATCCCTTCCCCTCCCCTATGTCTAAGAATAAATAAATAAACCCTTTTATTTAAAAAAGGTGAAATTGAAGAAATTTGAGCTAAGGCCTAGACTCTGTTATCAGCTTGTGTTGCAGACAGTCCTTGCCAGCCCCAGATGGCATTTGGGGGTGGGTGCAGAACCTGTCTGAGCCTGGCCTGTTCAGTGGCCCTCCTTGGTGGGAGAACAGATGGTGGGTGCTCTGTTTGGGGGTGACTGGCATTTAGGCAGATGAGGGCAACCTAAGGAACTACTTTCTTCTCTCTTTATAGTGAGGATACGGCCCCTCTTTGGGGGTGACTGATCTGACCTTGGGGTAAAGGGGAGGAGCCAGGGAGGCCCAAGTGCTGGTGCCCTTCCTGGGAGGGGAGCATGGTGGTAGGCGGTGCAGGGGGTCTTAGGAGCCTCATTATAGAGGAGGGGAGGGAGGGATCCCGGATCTGTTTCCGTCACCACGTGACTGTGCGTGTGCGTGTGTGTGTGTGTGTGTGTGTGAGTGAGTGAGAAAATTAATGCCTGGGGACTGAACCTGCTTTTCATTCTTATCTGTAGGGATCTTTTTGTACAGCTCTGGCCAGTGCCCAGGGGTAGTTTATAATGGAAGACTGCATCCTAGTTCCAACAGTTCAGAAGTGGTACCACCCAATATTTCATGATGCTGGTGGTGCCGCCTAGGGAGCCAGGTATTGATTCTTTGGGCTGTTGTGAACCTTATAGGACCTCTGGAGGACCTCTGGCATCCTTTGTCCCCACCCACTAAATGCTCTTAGGACTCTCAGACTTGTTTCTGGACACACCCCTTGGGGGGAGGGGCTGTATGGTCTCGGTTGAGGATTGTTGTGGAGGGGTTTGCCTGCACCTGTGACTACGTCACAGGCCACCTGGCTGGTATATGGCTCAGTGGATTGTGTGCCTGCCTGGGGGCTGAAAGGTGGCCAGTTCAATTCCCAGTCAGGGCACATGCCTGGATAATGGGCCAGGTCCCCGGTTAAGGGTATGCGACAGGCAGTGGATTGCCGTCTTTCTCGTACATCGGTGTTTCCCTCCATCTCTTTCTCCCTCCCTTTCCCTGTCTCAAAAATAAGTAAATAAAATCTTTTTTTTAAGCCTTATACAGACAGACCTTTGAGTGATTGGGGCAGGGGGAGTTGCAAGCCAACCAGAGAGAAAAGTGTCTTGCTTAGAGGTAGAAGAAACATTGTTTAAACGTCCTTAGGTAGAAATTGATACTGTATATAGCAAGGGGTTTTTCTGTGTTTTGTTTTGCAAGACCTCTGAAATGAAACCTCAATATTTGTTTCCTCAGCGTTAATTTGTCACTTAACACTTTGACTGAAAGGGTGAGTGATTCTGTGGTGATCCATTAAAATAATAACTGTAACAGAGCCGTTGTCCTGGACAGCGAGTCCCAGAGATGTCAGAGTCCCCTGCAGCGTGGTGGGCAGACTTGTCTACAGGACCAGAAAAGAAAGACTTGCAGCTCTGCAGCCCTGGGGCCTCTCCCAGCACAGGAGGAGCCATAGATAAGGCCTATAAGCTGATACATCAGCTAGGACCAGAACAAAACTATTTGGCGGTACAAAAATTTGAATTTCATGTAATTTTTGTGTCATCAAATGATCTTAACCCCCAACCATTTAAAATATCAGAACCAGGGGGAGGGGGAAATGGAGACATTTGTGATAGTGTCCACAATAACAGTAAAGAAAACTATTGGAAAAATTCAACTGTCAAATCCACTTACAGCTGGAGTTGGGATTTGGCCCAAGGGCCTCGGCAACCCCAGCTCTTTGAGGAGTCCCTGCTTTACAGGACCAGGTTTTAAATCAAATGTATCGCAGCACCATTGGTTCATCACACAAATTTCAAGTGTGCAGTGCCTGTAAACTGCGCTGTGTGCCTGCCACCTAGTCTAGTTCTCCCCATCACCATGCACTTGACTCCTGAAACCTGCTTTTAGTCAACACCTTTCAGAATTGGAGTCCTGCTTTCTTACTTGCTTGCCTTTAATTTTTTTTTTTATTTTATTGCTGATGCTATTACAGTTGTCCTCTTTTTCTGCCTTTGCCCCCTCGGCCCAACAACCCCCACTCCCTGGGCAACCCCCACTCCATTGTTCAGGAAGAGTGTTTCTTTATCTTCAACCTTTGGCCTTGTAATAGTGGTGTGTCTTGGTGTGGCCTCTTTGCATCCATCAGAACTGGGACTCTGCTTCCTGGACTTGATGCCTGGTTCCTTCACCAAATTAGGAAGGTTTCTTTCACTGGGTTTTCCGGTAGATTTCCCATTTCTTGCTCTTTCTCTTCTTCTGGCACCCTTATGAGGACGACCCCTTAAAGTCGTCCCAGAGGCTGTTTATACTCTCCTCATTTTTTTGGGGGGGGGTTCTTCTTGTTCTGCATGATTGTTTTTTTTTTGCTTCCTTAGATTCCAAATTACTGATTTGATTCTCAGTTTCATCCATTCTACTTTGGTTTCATTGTAAATTGGTCTTCATTTCAATTCATGTATCCTTTGTCTTTCTTCCTGGGTCGTCTTTATGCTGCTGAGGTCCTCACTAAGTTCCTTGAGCATCCTTGTAAATGGTGTTTTGAAATCTGCATCTGACAGATTGCGTAGCTCCATTCCCTTCAGCTCTTTTTCTGGAGTTTGGATCTGTTCTTTCACGTGGGCCATGTTTCGTTGTCTCCTCATTTTGGCAGCCTTCCTGTGTTGGTTTCTGTGTATTAGGTAGAGCTGCTTTGACTCTTGCTTGGCAGTGTGGCCTAATGTAGTAGGTGTCCTGTAGGGTGCAGTGGCACTGCCTCCCGTATCACTCAGGCTGTGTGCTCATGGTGTGCCCTTTCTGTGGGTTGAGTGCACCCTCCTCCTGTGGTTGCTGTTGGCAGCTCAAAGGGAAGGATTTACCCAGGCCATTCAGCTGCAGGGACTGGCCATAACCACTGACCACCCACCTCTGCCCTCCATGGAGGATCAGTTGTGCAGGGGCAGGGTGGTGGTGCTCCCAGATGGTCTGTAGCTGTCCACTGGGTGTGCTGGCCCTGGGGTTTCCTGGGTGGGACAGGCCAAGGTCAGCCTCCACCTGTGTTTTCCCCAGGGCCATCCTGACTGAGCTGTAAAGCAATCTGAGATGGCTGCTAGTTGTGCTGGGCTTGGAGACGCCCAGGCGAAGCCAAACTGAGTCTAGGCTGCCTGCTGCTAGTGCTGGGGCCTGGGGCCAGCTGTTGCTTACTCGAGAGGACTTAGTTAGGGGGCAAAGACACCAGCCATTATTATGGAAAAGCCACCGGAGTGGGCTCATAAGTTGGGTGGGACAGAGCCTCTGGGGATCTCCAAGGGCATTAAACAGTGTTAGCTTGGTTGATGGAGTCTCAGATGTGGCACCAGCTTGCCGGCTCTGTGGAGAGGGTTTAGCAAAGGGACAATGGCCTCTGCTCACCAGCCGCCAGACACTTGAGATTCTCCCTGTGTAACACTGGCGCCCTTTGGGCTGCTGCCCTGGTGCTGGAGCTCAGGGCATGAGTCTGAGTGAGTTCATGTGTGGGTTCTTTCGGAGGAACTGCTTGGGGCTCCAGAATTTTCTTCTACTGACTCAGTCCATGCTGGTTTTTGCAGCCAGAAATTGGGATTTCTCTTCCTGGCACTGGAACCCAGGGCTGGGGTGCCTCACATGGGGCTGAGATTCCTGGCTCCCAAAATACCCCTCCTGAATTTTTATCCCCCACACATGGGTGAGAGACCAGCTGATTCTGTGTTTGCACCCCTCCTACCAGTCCGAACGGTTATGTTTTTTTAGTTCTGTAGTTGTCGGAATTCCATTCAACTCGATTTCTGGTAGTTCTGAGTGATGGATATATATTTTAGTGGTAATTTGTATGTGAGTGTGCAGAGGTGAACCGTGTCTGCCTAGGCTGCCGTCTTGATGGGAAGTCTTCTTGCTTTATTTGTCTTATTTGTCCTTTTACTAGTGCGTTGTATACAAATCTTCACTTCAGAAACACATTTTAGGTATATCTATGCTGCACTAAGGGAATACCGTATTTTTAGGACTATAAGACATACCTATGTTTTAAAGGGGGAAAATTTTGAAGCAAAAAAATGGTAAAATATTTAATAACCCGTGAACCTGCTCCACCGTCACATTCAGACTATAAGGTGTAGCCCCTTTCCCCCAAATTTGAGGGGGTGCATCTTATAGTTAGAAAAATACGGTAGCTTTGCCTAAATAGGCAGACTAGAGAATATATGTTGTTTAATTTTTTAGCCTAAATTTTTAATGGTCTATTTTTTTCTTCAATATAATTTCTCAGAATAAAGTTGCTTTCATTTAACATACATCCTTTTTCAGAGGAAGTATTTTTAAAAATTGATTTGAGAGAGATATCAATGTATCCCACTTCTTGTATGTCTCCCACTGGGAATGGAACCCGCAGCCTTGGTGTGCGGGGACAACACTCTGAGCTTCCCAGCCAGGGTGAGGACCTCTTAATTTAAAAAGTTAATATTTAAGATACATTTGTGTTTGATAGCCAGGGACCTTCTTTCTCCACATTTGACTCCTCCATTGTGTGGGAGTTGGTACAGGCTCTTCAGCAGATTCTTCTCCGTACACGGAAACCTATAGGCTCGAGTTTATTTATGGGGTGGACTTTCTAGCTGACTGATACTCTGTGCTTTCAAAACTTGCCTGTCTTTCCAAAGGCCAGGTCTCTTCTAACTTAAGGTGTGAAAATGAAAATATTTTTCTGGAATCCCCTTTCAAATCAGAGAATTATTTTGGAAAGTGGGGCGGAAGTGTGCGTGACGATGGAAATGTGCTCTGTCCTGCTGTCCAGTGTGGTGACCGTGACCTGCGTGTAGCCTTGAACATGGGAAATGTGGCTGGTGCGAGGGCCGAGGAGATGAGTTTTGACTGTGGCATAAGCGTCAGTGGCTGCCATACTGTAAAAAGCGGCTTTAGATTCACACCTGACCTAGGGTCCCGCTTGTTTGGCAGTTACGCCTTCCGTGTCACCCGTAAGGTGATCAGAGGTTTCCCTCAAGTCCTGGATGAAGGGAGATGGTAAAAGTGGAAGCATGTCCCCAGTTGCTCTTCCCCGTGTCCCACAGTTTGCACGACTCGTGCCGTGGGCTAAAACACTGCCAGCCTTGTAGTTGATAGCAGCGTGCTCACGTTACTCGTCCCACAAAGCAAAGTAGGTCACTTGCAGCTAGGTGGGTGTGTGGCGATCTGAGGTGGTGAACACCAGCTCAGCAGTTGTTGGGTCTCACCACTTTCTAGGCGCAGACAAAGCCGTAATTGCCCGCACTCGTTGCGCTCATCTTTCTTGAGTCTGGGTTGCTCAGCATAAAATGCTCCAAGAATTCTGAGGCTCTTCTCAGGCAGAAAGTGGCTTCTTGAAAGAAATAGTTTTTCCTTATACGTGGATACTTTACAGATGAAAGGGAGGCAAGAATTTGGAAAAGGAAGCTATTAGGTCAGCAATTTTTCAACTGGTATTAGGGATTTTTAAAACATGTAGTACCTGACTGGTTAGTCAGGAACACTGACCTCTTTTCCCTTAGACCGTCAAATAAAACAACAGCAGCCAATGAAACAGTCGACATCCAGTGTAAATGAATAGAAATCGTACCTGTTTTCTTTGTCACTGTCAGATTGGCAAAAATCTATTTTGGCATGCCACAGAATTTTAGTAATTTATTTGTGTACCATGAGGTGGAAAAAGGTTGAAAATCGCTGCATTAGGTAAATGGATGGATTAGGAAAAGAAAATACATATTGTGTCTTTTGTAAATGCTCCCTATTTTAATTAATATGTTGGTCAAGATGTCCCACAGTTCTACTTGAGTTTGAATGCCAGTGTTGCTTTAATCAACCAGCCGGTGTTGCCGCACAGTCCCAAGCATCATGTCCCCTGGTCTCTGACTTTGCTGCCCAGATGTGGTCCCTGCGTGCACATCACGTGGGGGCTCCGCTCCAGACTCGAAGTTAGGTGCCTGCCCTTGGGCAGTTTCCCAGGTGGTTTGTATGCCCAGCAGTTTGAACAGAGCCCAAGGACAGGAGCAGGGAGAGCCCACCCAGAGGGTGTGGGTTAGACGGTGACCACTGACTCGTACAATTTTCTTTTTAGATATGAACATAGCAAACCATTGAAACAGGAAGAAGCGACCACTACAAACCTAACTGCAAAACCACCCCCCGCTGCTTCCTCCAGTCTCTCATCGGCGGTGGGACCGGCCGTTGAAATGAGTACGGGCAAGGCTGAGTCCAGAAGTTCAAATTTTGCAGCTGTAGGAGCAGGTTCGGAAGACTGGGTGAACGCCATCGAGTTTGTTCCCGGGCAGCCTTACTGCGGCCGTAGTGAGTATTTGGAAGAAGACAAAAAAAGTAAGAGGGCTAGACAGTAGTCTGTCGTTAGCCAAGTGTTCACATGTGGCTTGATCTTCCTTGGATTACCGGAGACTTACATGTGGAGGGAAGGACACTTCTAAAACCCCAGTAGTGTTGAATTAAGAGTGTTGAAAACTGAAGCCTCTCCTTTTATCCATATAGTTGCACAAGAACTACATAAATGCCCCCCTCCCCCTTTTACAAGCCTAATCTTGGAAATGTCAGCCTTAGAGGAAGTTCACTTCTTCCAGGAGTAAGGAGATGAATACAGGATCGTTGAAGTTCTGTTAGGTTCTCGGTTACCTGGTAGGTTCCCTGCCTTACCCGTGGTGAACCTTTCCCACCCTCTCCAACGTTTCAGCTGCCCCCTCCGGCACTGAAGCGCCCCCACAGGCCTCAGTGACCAAGGAGGACTCGGAGAAGAAGGAGCCACCGTCCGGGCACACGGAGCAGCAGCTGTGCCCCTACGCGGCAGTCGGAGAGTGTCGCTACGGCGAGAACTGTGTGTATCTCCACGGAGACCCCTGTGACCTGTGTGGGCTGCAGGCCCTCCACCCCGTGGACGCGGCCCAGAGGTCACAGCACATAAAAGTGAGTCCTCGGGGAGATGCTCTGTTGGTAGGGTGAGGACTGTGTTTCCATTTGGCGAACTGAGTGGTCCCTTAACAGTGGGGGGGGGGGGGGGGGCGTTTTCTTTCCTGGCCTTCGGTGCTGTATCAGGAAACCAAGGACCTTGCCCCAGCAGCTGTGTTTTCAGTTTCATGTATTTACAGAGTTGTGTGACCATTATCACCATTCTATCCAAATTTAGGGCATTTTCATCATCCCCAAAAGAAACCTCATACCCAGCCCTGGTCAGGTGGTAGCTCAGTTGGTTAGAACATTGTCCCCACGGTAAGGCTGTAGGTTTGATCCCGGTCAGGGCACATGTAAGAGCCAACCAATGGATGCAGCAGTGAGATAAGGAATTGATGTTTTCGTTTTCCTTTCCTCTCTCTATAAAATCAGTAAATAAATATTGAAAGAGAGGAAATGGAGATGATGAAAAACAAGGAAACCTCATACGTGTTGGCTCCATTACTCCCCCTTGTACTCCTTTCTGGCCCCGGGCAACAGGAAATCCATCTCCTGTGGGTGAGGATTTGCCTCATCAGGACCTTTCACGTCAGTGGAATCGGGTGTGGCCTTTGCTGCCTGGCTTAACAGGCCAGGTCCCTTGTACAGCGAAGGTCCATTCATGTCGTGGAGTGCATCTCTTTTTCCGAGGCTGAAGAATGACCCACCGCATGGGTAGACCTCAATCTGTTTTTCCATCGTTGGCTGATGGACTTTGGATTGTTAAACCTTTTGGTTATTTATTAACGCCATGAATATTCATATTGCTACGTTTTTGTGTACATGTGTTTTGCTGTGTCTTAAAGTAGACTTTTGCTGGGTCATGGTAGGTGGGTGAGCATCACATTTTGAGCACTGGTCCAACTTTCCCCACAGTGACCGCCCCATCTTACATTGCCAGGAGCAACGGGCAAGGGTTTCAGGCTTTGCCTTTAACTTTAAGCCCATTTGCAGCGTGAAGTTTTTACTGTTGTTGTTGGGGAGACATTGTATTAGAAGCCCTATATTTTCCTTACTGGATAGAGCAGGTTGCTAGTTATCATTATTATCTCCGTTAAATTAAAATTCATTGTGTTGTTGGGGAGTGAAGCACAGTTTGGGACTGGCAAAGTTTAAGTCTTTTCTCTGTATATTGAGGTTGGTGATGCCTACCTCTTTAAAAGTTTAGGAAAAGGTAAAATACACTAAAATGTAGTTAGGTGGGATTGTGGGTGAGGTTTCTATTGCAGGTGTGTTTTTTTTTTTTTTTGCATTTCCTACAGTTAGCGTGTTTCTTGCAGGTAAAGTTTGTGATACAATGTTATGTCAGCTATACCTCAATTAAAATAATAAAGTCTGTGCAGTGTCAGCACAAAAACTTGTGCATGAATGTCCATAGGACCATTACTCATAATAGCCCAAGGTGGGACTGACTGAAATGGCCATCTGATGAATGGATGAGTAGATTGGCCCATCTGTGCAATGGAACGTTACTCAGCAGTAATGAGAAGTGATTACTGATATGTTCTACCGCACAGGTACCATTGAGTGTGTGCCGAGTGAGCAAAGCCAGTCACCAGGGTTATGCATTTATGGGAATCGTTTGAGTAAGCCAAATCCCAGATGGGTAGATGCTGAGGGCTAAGGTTCAGGGGGAATGAGTGACTACCACGGGTATGCGATGCGGTCTTTCTTTGGGGTAATAAAAATGGTTTGTTTTTAAATTTAATCGTTACTGTATTTTTTCCCAGTACCATTTAGTCCCCCCTTCCATGTCAACACTGTAAACATGTTGTTAGTGCTATGATGGCGATGCACAGCCCTGCGTGTACCAAAGGCCATTTCATTGTTTTAAATGCATGAATTATGTGAAGTACATCTCAGCCTGGCACATAACTGTCACCTAATAAATTATTTGCTGACAGGTTATAAATTACGGCCTTAACCTTAATTGCATTTTCCATCTAGAAACCAGAAAAATCAAACTTTGCACGAAGAACTGTTTTGTTTTTTGTTGTTGGTTTTTTATTTTGGTGTTTTGTTTGTTTGTTTTTTAGTTTTTAGAGAGGGGAAGGAAAGGAGAAAGTGGGAGAGGAACATCAATGTGTGGTTGCCTCTCATGTGTCCCCTATGGGGAACCTGGCCTGTAACCCAGGCATGTGCCCTGACTGGGAATTGAACTGGTGATCCTTTGCTTCACAGACCTGTGCTCAATCCACTGAGCTACACCAGCCAGGGCAAGAACAACTTGTTTTAATGAGGATTTCAGCAGGGGTTGGGCTACAGTATAGACAAAGTTCGGTGATTTTTTTTAGAGGGAGGGAGAGAAACATCAGTGTGCCAGAGAGATACATTGATTGGTTGCCTCTTGCACTCCCCCAATTGAGGACCAGGCCCACAGCCCATTGGCATGTGTCTTGAATGGGAATTGGACTGGCAACCCTGTAGTTCACAGGTTTGCACTCAGTCCACTAGCTATGCCAGCCTGGGCCAAAGTTGCTCTTAATGTCGAATTGGGAACATCCTCTTTTTGGTTGACTGTGTGGTTCTCTAGACATGGGTCACTGACTGTCGAGGTGAAGTCCTGTGTCCCTCAGTGACCTGACCACGCTTCTCACCTCTCCACTTTTGACAGTCTTGCATCGAGGCCCACGAGAAGGACATGGAGCTCGCGTTCGCCGTGCAGCGCAGCAAGGACAAGGTGTGCGGCATCTGCATGGAGGTGGTCTACGAGAAGGCCAACCCCAGCGAGCGCCGCTTCGGGATCCTCTCCAACTGCAACCACACCTACTGTCTCAAGTGCATCCGCAAGTGGAGGAGCGCCAAGCAGTTTGAGAGCAAGATCATAAAGTGAGACTCCTCCCCAGTCTTCGTTTGTGCTTTCTGTTTGGGGAGGAATTTAGTATCTTGTGCCAGCTTTCAACCAGATGGACCGCATTTCAGTGCATGCATTTTACCTTGAAACTGGGGTATTCTTCTGATTGGGATTTCTTCTTTGTATTTCAGCTAGCTTCTAGGTTAGTTGGTTTATCTCTACTTTTATTTGGATGAGGAAACCCTATGTATCGGTCAGTAGAATCTTCGTGCTTTTTCCGAGGAGATTGTCGAGCGGATTAGCCTGTTTGGGCTCTCGGTGCACACACTTACCTGGCTCTGAATGTGTATGTTCCCTGGCGTTTTACACCTTCCACTTTCCTATTCCATCCATTAAGCTAGCCAACGGCCCGCCATCCTTACAGATTGTCCTCATAACTGAACAAAAACGACATAACCGAAACAGAGCGAAGTCACAAGAAATAAATTTATTTCAACGAAAGAAAAAGGAGTCTGTGTGAAATGTCTTCTTTTGTTCTTTTTTTTTTAAGTCCTAGTTTTAATGAACTGGCTAGCCATTGAATTGAATATATATGTATATGAACGTATCTATATATATAAAGGGGTTTGTCTTGCCTCGGAAGAGTGGCCAGTTGTGTGGCAGGGTTTGGAGCCCTTTCAGGAGCTGCCCACTTGCCTTTCGGTTGGGGACAACACCAGGGTGTGTCCTTGAAGAGTGGGCCCAGGGAGGGGAATGTGCATTGCAGCCTGTTCATTGTTTCCCAGGTCCTGCCCCGAATGCCGGATCACATCTAACTTTGTCATTCCAAGTGAGTACTGGGTGGAGGAGAAAGAAGAGAAGCAGAAACTCATTCAGAAATACAAGGAGGCAATGAGGTATGAGCACTGCAGCCTTTTCTTAGGCTATGATCCCAGCGGAGCTTGGGTTCACTTTGAAAAGAACAGTGCTGCACTATACACTCCTACCTCCTTCCTACCCTTTCTTTTACTTCCCAGCGCAGTGTATTTTGTTGCCCTCCGTAACACCATTACGTGTCTCGCTATAACACGGTCCCTGGGGTTCCTGCCGAGGGACTGCGTTATAATGAAGCCTGTATTGCTGGCGGCTGCGGCCCCGTGCCCGGGACCCTGCCTTGTTCCGAGTCCATGTCACAGGTTGTCCTGTATTCTTGGCGTGCGGGCTTTCTAGAAGGTTTCCTCTCTGCTGGATCTGCGGTGGTGGAGCTGCTAAGCAGCCCGGCCTGGGTCAGAGTATCAGATTCTAGTTGGCGTTTCACGCAGTAGCACACAGACCTTTAAGAACACACCGTGGGGAGGGCTGTAAACTGACACACCGGTTCTGCCCCTCCCTGCTTGGGGAAACCCTGGATGCTAGGCACACGCACACCTGAAATCCACTGTGAATAAGGGTTGCGGTATTTTCCTTTCCAGCAACAAGGCGTGCAGGTATTTTGATGAAGGACGTGGGAGCTGCCCATTTGGAGGGAACTGTTTTTACAAGCATGCGTACCCTGATGGCCGTAGAGAGGAGCCACAGAGACAGAAAGTGGGAACATCAAGCAGATACCGGGTAACTCTCACTGTTTTTTTAAAGAAGGGGAAATACCACACTGCCCGTTGAGTCCCACACAGATCGGGGTGTAGGGGAAGGAGAAGATTAACGCTCAGGTCTGGGAGCGAGACTAGAGTACCAAAGCAGGAAACCAACCTCAGAGAACTGGGAGGGATGTGAGAGGAAAAACTAGAATGCTTAAAGCTCTAGCCTAAACCTTTTTGCCTCGAGTAACCCAAGGGCAGGAGTTGGTAAAGTGGACACCCTAAATGAGAAGTCCGGTTCGTCCGCCCTCTGGTGTGCTGGCCGTGTTGCCCTAGAAACAAGAGACTAGAAGATACGGCTCGACAGTGCCCTCCCTATCACGGCCTTGTTTCTTACAGGCCCAACGAAGGAACCACTTCTGGGAGCTCATTGAGGAAAGAGAGAACAGCAGCCCCTTTGACCACGATGAAGAGGAGGTTGTCACCTTTGAGCTGGGCGAGATGTTGCTTATGCTTTTGGCTGCAGGTGGGGACGACGACCTGACAGACTCTGAAGACGAGTGGGACTTGTTTCAGGATGAGCTGGAAGACTTTTATGACTCGGACCTATAGCAGCTGCGTGCGGCGTGTGGAGGGGCCCGCCGAGCCCCGGACGGGCTGTCCCCGGGCAGCGGGGCGGGGCCCGCGGTTCTCTGCCGGGCAGGCCTAGCCACTCCAGGTGCTGTCGGAATAACTTTTACCCAGGGCCTGTCTTCTCAGTTCCCCTCACCTTTCCCCAAGGAGTATGTTGTTTTCTCTGGTTGGAAAAGTTACAAAAATAAACCTTAAAGTTAGTTTTTTCCATAACTTGAATTTCACTGTCAGACAGCGTAGGTTTTTCGCATCTGTTTTTGGCCAGATTCCCACGCAGCGGGAGGGCGCTGTCGGTGGGCCCGCCCACACTCACTCTGAGGACCCCGGGTTCCGAAGTCTCACCGCTGGCCCTGCTCTGGTGTCCAAGAATAGGGGTGACGGGTGAAGGATCTGGACTGTGGCGAGTGGCCTTTGGCCACAGCCTGAGAAGGCGGGTACTTGAGGTTTCCGGGGCCGTCTCCCACCCGTGTGTTTATGTCTGTTCCCTTCCCTGCGGTTCCCCACCCCGCACGCCCTGTGCACTTGTTCTGTGGTTTGGGTCTCTGGTTTCATTGCACACAAGTAATAAACTACTGGGTAACCATAACCAGGTGTGAATGTGTTTTGAGATCTTTTTTTCTTTTACTGTGTTTATAGTATGCTAGGAAAATCGGTAAGGACACATAGAAAAGAAATGCAGAGTTGGAAGTTGACTCCCAAGAGCCGCGTGACTCGGCACGTGTGAGAGCGAGCGTGTTCGTGGCCCTCTGCAGAGACTTGCGGTCGCGGTTCCGGCCGTGTGGTGCAGTGCACAGCAGTGTGTCAGTGGCTGTCAGGAGGGCAGTGCTGGTTTCGTCTGTCTAAATAAGCGGGCTCAGCCACAGGGGTTAAAACTGCCTGGTTATCCCACCTATTAACACAAACTGGGCCTGGGATACACACAGTTGCGTATAATGCTTAATGCCTTTCCGCCTTTCTGGTTCAAGCGCTTTCCGACAAACCTTTGTCCTCGTTCGAGGAGTTTTGTTGTGGGGTTTTGTGTTTGTTTTGTGGGTATTGGCCTCATTCCATCCTTGTGTTTGGCAGGCAGACAGATGATATTCCAAACTATGTTTTAAGGTGTTTCTTGTAGTGGAGTCAAATGGGGGGAGGTAATCCACGAGACAAGCTAAACTGTTACAATTCCTCGATTGGAAAGTTTCACACCTCAGGTCGCTCTGTTCCCTGAAAATCGCTTGGAGGTGCTCCTGAGTTGTCCCAGCTACTGCTCTGACTCCTAGGGTCCCTCCCGTTCTTTTACTTTAAGGAAAAACAAGTCGTTGTTAACAGTTGTCTCTGAATTTTACAGCTGCCCTTTTGTAAGAAGCACTTTTCCCAAATAAAACAATTTTAAAAACCCATACGTCGTCTTTCTGTCGTACGTAATGAGCCGTTTGAAATGTGCCTGCTGTTTCTTTCTCTCAATGACTCTTTGATCGGTTCATCCGTGAGTCAGATTGCTGTGGATATAGTTTCATTGAGAAAAGTGCACCTTTCCTTAAGGCATCCAGCCTGCTGAGAAAGAAAGAGGAAGCCGTACCAGCTGGGATCGTCAGGCGGTTCTGTGTTTCCGAGTTTGCAGGACTAACTCTCAGGCCACCGTAGGCGCTGCATGCGCTTGTACTTGCAGCTGCTTCCTACCTGCCAGGAACAGGTAGGTCCCGTGCTGTATCGAAAGGCTATTTCTCTTTCCAATTCTGTTACGTGAAATTTTCATGTGTAAAATAAAACCCCTTTTGCGCTTCTGTGGAAGGCCCTCAGTGACCTTTCTGTAGTACTTTTTATGGAAATACTGCTCGTTGACTTGAACGTGTATTTAAGAACATGCTGTTGAAAACGTTTCTGCATTATGGCTCGTAGTCATGGTGACTTGCTGTAGATCCCCTGAGTAGGCTTTCTGCAGAAGCACGGACCAGCTGCTCCCTTCTGGAAATGTCACAGTTCTGCCTTAAGCTGCTATCGATGGGTCATCCTGAGGACCACGAGTGCCCCCAGCGATGCTGGAGAGCCTCAGAGGCGTGGTTAGAAATGTTGGGGACCTGAGTAGGGGAGAGAGACTTCCATGTTTCGTTTCTTGGTGTCCAGAAAGGAGCAGGGGACTCGTCAGTTGCTGGTGGGGAGACTAGACTAGGCATAACTGGGGGTAGGTTTGTGTTTGGGGAAGCTTCCTTTCTTTGTGTCTTAGAAAAGGCAGCGGAAGTGCAGGTTTTAGCCAATTCTCAAGGCCACCCTGTCACTCTCGGCAGTGACAGCTCTTCCAATTTTCTCATTGGCTCAAAACTACCATGCTACTCCCTTCCTGCTACCACGCACGGTAAGTAATGCTTACCTCCCGCTAACTTTTGTGGACATGCAGATTCTTGTTTTTAAAGGGTTGGTGGAGTCGGGGGAGGTGAAGCAAATACTACTGCCAAAGATCTGGGAGGAGGAGGAGGAGGAGGAGTGATTTGGGGAGTCTGTAGTCATTGTTAATAGTGCTGGCCACAGAATTTCCGAGTCTGCTCTCTGGCTGCACAGCAGCCAATTGCAAAGCCCATCAAACTTTATTAAGCAGATGAAATGGAAGCAGAACTGGTATTTCCTGATGAAAGTATTAATCCAATCCATGACTTACCTTGCCCCCCTCCCCTTTTCCATAGCAAGTGTCCATAAGCAGCCTTAGGTTTTCGATAAGACGTGCTCTGTAGTAAGTTATTTTAATCAGAACTTACTACCCTTAGTAAATACTTAAAAACTTGGCTTCCACAAGGCTGTACCTACGCCTTAGTCTTCGTTAACAGTGCACATAATCTAAAACATAAAACTGAATTAACAAGGAAGAATTGTTTAAGGGGAGGCCCATTTCTGATGATAAATTTGCCCTCTTGAGGTTTTATTTTGTTTTTATGTAGATGCAGGTACACTAACTCGCTTCCTTCCCCTGCCCTTGCCTTCCTACTGTCAACGGGTAGCATTTTCAGTAAAATGAAGGCAGCCCTTAGTTTGACAAATACTTGTGCCTTCTGGGCACTGGATGCAGTAGAAACTGCACATCAAAGCAGCACAGGTCGATGGTCTGGTCCCCTCTGTGTCCCAGTTCTTCAGACCCTTGTCCCTCCTGCCCGGGAGGGGTTGGGAGCCACATGCTGAATCAGCAGTTACAACGTAGGGACTTAATGATTACAATTTCAAAACACCGTACTTGGCATTTAGTTTAGTCCCATTTCATCCTTAGAGCAGTCAAGGTAAGTGGTATCTCTGATTTACAAGGGGGGGGGACCAAAACTGGAAGCATTTGCCTGTGGTTTCCCGGTTGATCAGCTGTGGCACGGCCTTCAGACCCGGGTTCCCCCAACATGCTGTACTGGGGCGGCCGCCTCGCACACCGGGCTTCCTCCTCAATCTTCCACAAGTGCACGTCCGAAGGTCAACCTTGTCGTGCCTGCCAAGTTCAGGCACTGCAAGAAACTCCATTTCCTTGGCTTCTCACAGCAGCTGGCAGAATTAATCACTATATTCCCCAATCTTTTTTTTTTTTTTTTTAATGTATGGTTGCCTCTAGTGCATCCCCTGCTGGGAACTGGCCTGCAGGGAACCAACCAGCCTGCAACCCAGGCATGTGCCCTGACTGGGAATTGAACTGCGATCCTCTGGTTCACAGGCCTGTGGTCAATCCACTGAGCTACACCAGTCAGGGCATATATTCCCCAATCTTGAATGTTAATTTTACACCAAGGATTCTCAAACTCTTCACAGTGGAGGTCTTTTATTTCCAGTCCATGAATGGGCCAGTTGTCTTGCGAACTGAATACAACTGAATTGTTACAAACAAAATGATCAACAGCCTTCTTAGTACAATCCCGAAGTTAATTACAGGATTTGAGCAACATAAGGTTGGATGTGCCAATGCCAAATTGATAAGGAAGTTTCTAAGTGCCCTCCATTCCTGGGCTTCCTTAGCCACGGCCCAGGAACAGTGTGCAGGCCACGCCTCCAGTGATGGAGGTCGACACCACCCTCATTCTTATTTCTTCGGCAGTCGTGGCTCCTCTCTCCTTGATGTTACAAAATTTCTTACAGCCCATTATTACTTGCATTTGCTTACTCTTTTTTTTTTTTTTTTAAGTAAACTTTTTAGAGGGGAAGAGAGGGAGAGAAACATCTATTTATGGTTGCCTCATACACCCCCTACTGGGGCCCTGGCCCAGGCATGTGGGAGTCTGCAGGCCCACACTCAATCCACTGAGCTACACCAGCCGAGGCTACATTTACTTATCCTTATGTAGTGTATCAAGATGATTTGAGAACTTGAATGACCAGAGGCTACATTTACTTATCCTTATGTAGTGTATCAAGATGATTTGAGAACTTGAATGACCAACGTTTAGGAGAGACCGGAGTGATGATGTTATTTTCACTTATTAGAAGTAAAAATTATCACTCATAATGCGTTAATTTAAAAAAATTTTTTTTATTGAACTTACTGGGATGACACTGGTTACTGAAGTTGCAGGGTTTTAGGTGTACAGTTCTACACTATATCGGCACACTGTTTTGTGTGTTCACCACCCCGAGTTAATAATGTGTTAGTTTTTAGACAGTGGCTTGCAAATAGCAGCCTGAAGCCTCATCTAATTTAGAAACAAAATTCCAATTACAAAAATAAAATTTATGATTTTGTAAAATCATTAAGCCAGTTTTATTGTCTATTTCCAAATCTAAATAAGGGTTATTTTAAAATTCAGCAATGCAAAGAGCAAAAATTGTGACTAATACAATAAAAGTAAAATATTTAAAATACAAAAAAAGTTAAGCAATGCTCCAACAAAAATAAACAGTGGGCCTTTTAAGTAGGAAATCAGTATATCTGAATGTAAAAAAATGCAGGGTTTTTAAAAAATATATTTTATTTGTCTTTAGAGGGGAAGGGAAAAAGAAATATCAATGTATGGTTGCCTCTTGTGCATCCCCCGCTGGAACTGGCCTGCAACCCAGGCATGTGCCCTGACTGGGAATCGAACCAGCAATCCTTTGGTTTGCAGGCCTGTGCTCAATCCACTGAGCTACACCAGCCAGGGCAGAAATGCAGTTTTTTGAGGGTTGTGCAGCACTTCATGTCATTAATGATAATTAATGCAACTTCCATCAGGTGAGGAGGGATCTCTGGATGATTTTGCAGAATTATCACCTATTCAGGGCTTATTATTAACTTGAACCTTTCATTTTGACATTCTTGGTGCTTCTGTCCTCAGCAATTACTTTTGGGTATAAATTAACGTGTTAAGAATAAACACAAAAAAATATATAATGTCCTAAGTCCCTGAGCGGTTGGCAATATTCTGAATGGTAAACCAGCCAAGGGAAGCTGTGAGCATCTATGTGGTCACTCAATTCATCACATGAAGCCTCAGAAACTTCCCCATCACCTGGAGGCCTCTCTCCACCCCGCCCCCGCCCTCCCCCCCCAGGGCCTGGAATGGCCGATAGGACTCAGCTTGGCTTGCCTTGGTCACCCATATAACTGCACATGAGTGTAGTTTCCACATCGCCACTCTTCCAAGGGAAGTGAACTTGGGCTGGGTCCACCACGTGTCCAGCCCAGCCCCTCATGTTCCCCTGCAGGCAGACAGGACCAGCCTCATCCACCGCCCACTGAGTCTTCCCCCTTCAGCTGCTTTTATGACATGGAAACATGAATGAGAGCATGTCTCGGAATGGGTGTATTTCCCTTTTTGCGTGTGTGGAGAATGAATATATTTGGGGGATATTTTTTAATTTTTTAATTGAATTCATTGGGGTGGTACTGGTTACTTGAGGGGTTGATACGAAGGAACTCATCTAACAGGAGAAGGGAGTGTAGCGTAACTATTAAAAGCGTGGGCTGTGGAACCAGGAACCAGGTCGTTTGGGTTTGGCTCCGCCACGTACTAGCTGGGCGACTGATCTTAATCCCTGCATCTCATCCTCATTTTAGAGGTGGGAATCGTGAATGGTGCCTACGTCAGAGATCCTAGACAGGGTCCTCGGGGGTTGGTATAAAGTGTTCGGTCCAGTGCGGAGTGTGTAGTAACTGGTACGTGAGCTTGTTGTAATCAGTATTCTCACAGTAATGGTTCTGTTGCTAGTAAATAGACCTTTCCAGTAACAGGGTGGGGGAGAGATTCAGAAACCATGCATGAGCAATGAAGTATTAACCAATTTTCACACACATGAAAATGTACTTGACACAGGCAAACCAAATATGAAGACACGGACAATCTTTTTATTCTTCCAGCAAGTCCCTTTTGTAACTTCATTTTGTATAACTTGTTTCCAACTGTACCATTTGGGGAGTGTGAGAAAGATGCCAGGATTCAGTTACCATGAATAACTGCGGGTACATGGGGGACCTGCCCGAGGCAGCTGCCCACGCCAGGCCCGAGGCTGTGTGGCCTCCCGGACACGGGTGCCTCCCTCTGCAAGGGACCTCTGGGTGCCCTAATCCAAAGAAGGGGGCCCTCTCAAGGGCTTCTGTCACAGCCGGTTAATCACAGGTTCCTGGTGTTCAGGTGACCTTGTTCTCACATGTCTGACCTGTTGGTGGGAATATTTTCATTCCAGATAATCCCCAGAGTGCATAATCCTAGAAGCTGCTGAGTTTTTCAGAGTACTGGATAAGACGGATGTGCAGAGAAATGGAGGGAAATGGGTGTGAGCCCTTAACATCAGGGCCTGCTCAGCGTCTGTCTTCAAGTGCTCAGCAGCCAGGTAAGGAGGGACTGTTTGTTTCACGCAGGTCTCAGCCTAATGGAGAATGACGAGCTAGAAACAGCTGGGGCGCTCACCCGGCCCAAAGAGCGCTCCCCAGACGCTCCCCTCCTGGAGCTGCGTTGTGGCCAGACCGGCCCCTGTGGTCCCCACTGTGACTGCCAGATGCACCTCAGCAGCAAGCACTGGGGAACTTTGGAAAATGGTGGTGCCCTTGTTCTGGGGGCCACATGGTGTGACCAGGGCCACACTGCAAGGCCAGCGTTGGATTGCTGTCCATCTGTGAGCCAATTTAATTTCAATTCAGGAAGGCTTTCTATCCAGCAGCTAATTTGGTATTTTAGAAAGGAATGGTAGATATCTCCCATAGTCTACGAGGGTGGTCAAATCAGTCCAACTAGAATAGAGTGAAATCCAATTCTGTCTCCATCACGTGGAGCCCGACCATTTGGCAGGAGGTCTGGATGGTCTTTGTGTCAAAAGGCTTTGCTTTCCACCCTAAAGCGCTGAGGCGTGACTGCCAGGAAGCCAGCGTTAACAGTATTCTGGCTTATCATTGCAGACTTCTTCCTATCCTCTCACACCTGAGCAGTTTTAAACTGTCCCAGAATGTTCCAAACATCCTCTCCCCTACCTGGATAGGAGAGGAGACCCCCCAAAACCTGGAATTATTTTCTGGAGGGTGGGCCCTTCTAGTACAGGCTTCCCCCGCTGAGCGAGTGTTCTAGGAACCCATCTGTAAAGGCGCACCAGCTGGCGTTGTTGTGAGAGGCTGTGTTCTGCTTTGGTGCAATTTTTTTTTTTTTTGAAGACTCTCCATGTGTTTGCCCACTTCAGGATGGGCGATTGAGGTGCGCACCTGCCCACACCATGCTGAGTGTTCAGCAGTTTTTGGCCAAAAAAGGCATGACCCCCGTGCCCCCCCCTCCCCGTTCACTTGACCCCTCACCCTGAGCCACACTCTGTTTGTTTGTTTGTTTCCTCAGTTGAAAAAAAGTCTTTAATGGGAAACATTTTGCCAATGTGGAAGAGGTGAAACAAAAAACGGCAGAAACACTAAAAGGCGCCCAAAGTGACAAGTTCCAAAACTGTTCTGAGCAGTGAAAAAAACATCTCGATAGGTGTATTGCATCAAATGGAGAGTGTACTTTGAAGGTGACTGAAGTTTAAGCATGTAAGAATAAATATACAATTTTTTATAAATAGATTCCAGGTTCTGGGGGGTCCCCCCACCCTTTTAGTCCTCTTTCCCTCCCCACCCTTTTCTTCAAGTGAGAAGCAAAATTCCGTAGAAGCACAGTTAGTTGAAGGGCTGTGGGGGCAAAAAAGGGAAAGATGAAAACCAGAAATCTTATCCTTCTAGCCCTGTGCCTTTAAATCCAAGGCGAATCAAGAAGGACAGGGGTGTCCCCTGTCCTCAGCGTCAACCGCTGTGGCCTCTGGTCTGAACTGAGGACAGAGGACCAGCAGCGAGTCTACACTTGGGCCTGAAATGCTACTCAGCAAACACTAAGTGACCGGGCTACCTTTGGTTTTGGAGATGGCCTCGCGTGGGCGCTCTCAGCCTCGTGAGCTGTCTCAGCAGGAGCAGTGGGTCTTTTCACTTGGCCCCTGGGCCACCAGCACTGGACTGGATTCCAGGGCCAGGGTGTGGAGGGCGCCATCCCCATACAGGTGCAGGCTGTTCCGGGCGATCAGCTCCCTGGCCATGAGCATGAAGACTTCGTCTATGTTCTTGGACTCCTTGGCTGACGTCTCCAAGACGGCGAGGAGGCCGTGCCTCTCAGCCAGCGTGCAGGCGTCCTCGAACAGGACGTGCCGCTTTTCCCACAGGTCACATTTGTTCCCTGGGAGTGAGAGACAAGCAAATGTTGCATTGAGTGACTTAACCTGATTTCTCTAAAAATGGACTTTAAAAAGAACATGTTAGTTCGGCGATACGCATGCACGGATTCATTCACAAATAGTAGTTTGAGGGCAAATGTACTGAAAATGAAACCACAGATAAATAGAAAGGGAACCACTATTCTAATTAACTGTTTCTGAGATCTTTCAGAGCTACGAGGAATGGGCTGGAGGTGTGTGTGTTTTCTTGGCTGGGACAGGTGTAGCCTCCGTGTTCTTGGGAGGGATGGTCACTCCCTCCAAGTGCTACATGGTGCGGCGGTGCCACTGATTCTCTCCGGCTCTCTCGTCCCTTCAGATCTTGTTCCTCTCCCCCCACCCACCAAACTACAGTGTGTTGTACCCTGTGAGACAGAACCCAGGCTGGCTGAGGTTTGTGGTCTGGACTTCTTGAGTTGAAGCTATGGGATAAATAATGAAAGACTTATTTTGTTAGTTATTTTTTTAAAGGATTTGCAATTTTATTTTATTTTTTAAAAGATTTTATTTATTTATCTTTAGAGGGGAAGGGAAGGAGAGAGGGAGAGAAACATCAATGTATGGTTGCCTCTCCTGCATCCCCCACTGGGAACTGGCCTGCAACCCATGTGCCCTGACTGGGAATCAAACCTCGATTGTGTGGTTCACAGGCCTGCACTCAATCCACTGAGCTACACCAGCCAGGGCTATTTTGTTAGTTATTTTATTTTTTAAAGATTTTATTTATTTTTAGAGAGAGGGGAAGGGAAGGAGGAAGAAAGGGAGGGAAACATTGATATGCAAGAGACACATCGATTGGCTGCCTCTCACATGTCCCCAACTAGGGACCTGGCTGGCAACCCAGTCCTGTGCCCTGACAGGGAATCGAACTGGCAACTCTGGTTTGCAGGGCAGCGCCCCATCTGCTGGGCCACACCAGCCACAGCTGGTCCTACACTTTTATCACCTGCTCCTCTCGCCTGCCCCAGTGCCACACCCAGGTTCATAGCACTGACTGTCCCCTGTCCTGCCTCCCCATAGCTGGTGGCTGCACTCCTCAGGACAGCCCGGACACCCTGTGGGAGGGGAGGACCCCCGTGCTTGCTCTGGCAGTCCGAGTCCTTGCCTGCTAAGTGTGGTCCGGGGCACCCAGCAATGCGTGGGCTCTGCCCCTTGGGAAGGAATTCTTCATCTTGTTAGAGAGGCAGGACAGACGCACAGACAACCAAAGAGTGTACAAGACTTCACACCCAAGACAGCATGAGGCCCTTATCCGCATTTCCCAAGTCCAAAAAAACTCCGAACTCCCTAAATTTTTTGGTAGTTTATCTGACAGTAAAATCTCCCCTAAATGAGCCTTTTGAAGTTTTTAATTCAACCTGCTTTGCATGCCTATTTATACATTTCACTGTGTAAGTGTCAATGCCTTTGACCGTGGGACGCTGGCCCGGACTCTGCTGAGGGGGTCAGATAACGTAAAAGGCACCCTCCTAAGATCCGACGAAGTCTGGACTCTGAAATCCTCAGCCTTCAGGGTTTTCCCTGAGAGATCGTGGACCTGTAAATAGGGAAAAGCATTGCACTGTCATGATGAAGCTGCCAATCACCAGTTGCCCATAGCTGTGGCCGTTTTTGTCATGTTGCAGCTCTCAACCAGCAGAGAACACTGAGGTGGTGCTCCTTATTAATTGTTTGGCCTGGAGTGGACAACACCTTCCCAATCAAAAAACACAGTTAACATGGTCTTGATCTTGCTGCGACTTTGCTGTGCCTTCTTTGGGCGTGGAGAACCAGGTGACTTCCACTGGGATGACTGGGTCCTCATTTCCAGGTCATACATGTAACTATAGACACATGATTCATCTCTGGTTATGACCTTCTTGAGGAAATCTGGCTCATTGGTACAGTGTGAATCAAGTCATTAGCAACTGCGGCACAATGTTCCTTCTGCTCTGGTAGCAGAAGCCATGGAATGAATTTTGCCACAACATGTTTCATGCCAAGATCCTGTGTCAAGATCTCAGACACAGTAGTCTTTGCAATCCCCCAAAACTTCTAGTTCTATGTCAGTCGCCAATCTTTGTTGATTGCAGCCTGTGCACGTTCAACATTTCCAGGTGTTCTGCTTGTTGCAGGCCTTCCAGAACCTGGCTCACTTTCAACAGAGTCTCAACCACCTTTGAAGCATTTGTGCCACATTTTTATTTGCACTGCACTCATTGCATTGTCCTCAAAAGCCTTCTGAATCATCCGAATAGATTTCACAGAGGAATGTTCAAGCTTAATGCAAAACTTGATGTAGATTCGTTGCTCTACCTGCTCAGTCATTTTGAATGCAATGGCCACACGGCACACATGCTCACTCAAAGGCGTCTGCTGTCCCCACCGACTAGAACAGTGAAGTCGCCATTGTTCACGCATGTGCATTCCAGTCCACTCTCCTTGGCTGCCAGGTACATCGAGGTTCAACAAACTATTCTTGTTTTATCGACAATGGCTGGACTTTTTCTGGACAGACCCCTGTATGTCACCTTATTTAATCCTTTCAACTCAACAATATTTTGGAAGTGGGCACCAGTTTTATAGATGAAGAAGCAGAAACTTGGAGGTAGTAAGTTATAATCCCCAATTCAGACAGAGAGGGAGATTCAAACCCAAATCTGTCTGACCCTGAAGTCTAGGCACTAGACTAGACACAGAAACTTCCTAAACCAGAGCTTCAGGGGGCCCTGGATAACGGTCCCACCTAACCAACTAGTGGGAAATGGTCAGAGAGGAAGTGAACCCACTGCACATTCTGGGACTCAGACAGTCTGGTTCAAATCCCGCCTCACCTGTCAGTAAGTAACCAGGCTGAACTATCTGGCAGGATACTTAACCTACAGATGCCTGGGTTTCCTCATCTGGAAGTTAGAACAGTCGTCTCTGCTTCTTAGGGTGCTTGGGTGGATTAAGTGATCTGACTCAGGAGCAGAATCAGGAGAGTGCCTGGAGCCTACTAAGTGTTTCATTATTCAAGGGGATGTGGGTCACATTCATCTGAGTGGCTGGCCCAGGGACTTGGAGCCACCTGACTCTGAACCTCAGCCCACGGAGGACTTCCTGTGTCGTCTGCCCTGATGTGCGCAGCCAATCAGCCGGGGAGCCCTGCACACAGACGTCGGGGCCCCAGCTCAGCCTCTAGACCGAGAAACTCTAGGGTGGGGCCTTTGAGATCTGTCTTCCTAGGAAGTTCCCACTCCCCCCCCCCCCTCACTTGCAAGTGAATCTTAGGGGAATTTCTGGGCCAGGCGCTTTCTGAGTCCTGCCCACCATTTGCTCAGAGTTCATGTTCCCCTGCCACTGGAAACACAGAAAGCTGAGTGTCAGCAGAGGGCACCAGGAAAGCAAAGTTAACCCTTTGGAAACAGCATACCAATCAGCATAATGACCAAGTTCGCAGCTCCGTATTTCTCTATCTCGTGAATCCAGTGAGGAACAGACTCGAAGGTGGACCGCCGGGTGAGGTCGTAGGCGATGATGGCCGCATGCGCACTGCGGTAGTAGCTTTGGGTGATGGTCCGGAAGCGCTCCTGGCCTGCAGTGTCCCACACTTGCATCTGGAAAAGGGCAGGAACAGGGGTGGCGTCAGGAGTTCCCACAACCCAAGGGAGCTCGCTCGCCTACGTTGTCTGCAAAATACAGCTTCCGGAGGCTCAGTGCTAGCTATCTAAGTTCAGGAGGTCTAAGCTGGGGCCCACGAATCTATTTTTTTCATTGCATCCTGGCACCAATTTTTACACCCTCCAACAGTGTCTGAGGGTACTTGTTTCTTCATATACATACATCATTTACAAAATTTATTTTTTAAAGAAAGTTCACAGCCCTGGCTGGTGTAGCTCAGTGGACTGAGTGCGGGTCTATGAACCAAAGGCTCTCTGGTTCAATTCCCGGTCGGGGTACATGTTTGGGTTGTGGGCCAGGTCCCCAGTAGGGGGCGCATGAGAGGCAACCACACATTGATGTTTTTCTCCCTGTCTTTCTCCTTCCCTTCCCCTCTCTCTAAAAATAAATAAAATCTTTAAAAATATATAAAAAGTTTGCAAACATACACAAGACTAGAGATAATAGAAGAATGAACTGTTATATACCCATTATTACAGAATCGATAATTATCAACATTTTTGCAACATCTAGCCCATTCTGTTGATTTCTTTGAGCACATCCTAGACTTCTTGTCATTTTATCCCTATTTACATTGATATGCATCCCTACAAAAATGGACTTTTTCCTTCATAACTGCATGCCATTATCACTGTTTATAAGCTTTTTGATAACTCCTTGGTATCATATAATACCCAGGAGTATGAAAATTTCCATGATTGTCTCCAGAATGCCTTTTTACACTCATTTTTATTTAATCAGGATATCAAACAAGATCCATTTATTACATTTTTACCAATACTTTTTGATCTTTTCTAATCAATTGGTAAAAAACACTATCTCAGTGTTAGTTTGTTGTTTCTTTAAAAAATTTTTTTTGTAAAGATTTTATTGATTTATTTTTAGACAGAGGGTAGGAAGGAAGAGAGGGAGAGAAACATCCATTTGCCTTTCCCACACCCCCCACTGGGGACCTAGCCCACAACCCAGGCCTGTGCCCTGACTGGGAATCGAACCAGTGACCCTTTGGTTCACAGGCCGGCACTCAAGCCACTGAGCCACACCAGCCAGGGTTGTTGTTCCTTTAATTACAAGTGAGGGTAGGTATCTTCACATCTTTACATAACTGTATGAACTACTTCTTATAAAATTTGTAAAACAGCAGTTTTGTTCAATCTGTGAATTGCCTACTTTTTGTATTTGGCTGTTGAGCCCTTTCTTAGCTATTTATCAGGGCTGTTCTCACAGTGAAGAAATCAGCCCTTGGTCAAGTCCCATATCGACAAATATTTCTTTCCAACTTGTCATTCAGCTTTTTTTGACTTGGTGGATGGCATTTTGAATATGTAGAAACTTTATATAGTTATATAGAAATAGAAAAACTTGCCCTTTGAGACAGTTAAACTGAGCAATATTTTCCCTTTTGGCCTCTGGATCTCTCATCTTACCAAAACACCTTATTTTCTCATTCCACGATAATAAAAATAAATACACCTATGTTTTTTCCTGGTACTCTTATGATTTCGTGTTTTATATTTAATTCTGTTATTCCTCAGGCATGTGTTTCGGCGTTAGGGACGCTGGGTCAAGGAGGCGGAGCGAAACCCACGCCCTCTGACCTTCACTTTCTTGCCGTCGATCTCGAGGGAGCGCACGGTGAAGTCCACCCCAATCGTGTTCTGCTGTGTCTCCGTGTAGACCCCGGACCTGAAATGCTGCACCACACACGTCTTCCCCACGTTGGAGTCCCCGATGAGGATGATCTTGAACAGGTAGTCAAAGTTCTCATCTGCTGCCCTGGCTGAGCTGGAGAACTGCATGGCACTTGCTGCTGAGAAGGGAGCTGGGAAGAAAAGGGGAAGCTCAGCTTGTCGTTAGTGAGCACAGACCAGGCTGCAGGCCCTTGTTCTAGGCACCCGGGCTCCAGGACAGGGCAAGACAGAGGGACATCACTGCTTTCATAGCACCGCCATCCTCGGAGAGAAGGACACTGATTACTGGGCGCACAAGTTCACACCTGCTCCAGGTGGGTTGACGATACTTTAGGGGTGCCCGCAGAATGAGGGGTTCTACTGCCATTCTCCCCTGGGCCCACTACCCAGTCGACACAGTCAGATGACCGCACTGGTGGAAATTCTCGTCACTGAGACCAGGTGCTCCATTGAGTGCCCACTCCGCAGCAGGAGGGCCAAGGAGACGCCACCGGAGTGTTCTCTCTGCCGTTTGTCAGCTGGAGGACATGCCTCGCTGTCATCCTCTCCCCACTTGACATGGGGAGAGGCACTCCCAATTACTGGGAGACAGAGCATCCAGGCAACTGGGACCCACAAGACTGGACAGAGAAGTCAGTTTGGGGAAGAGTGTTTTTCACACGGTGTCTTTCTTCTGGTTGGCACCTAATTTTTCTTGACCAAGCAATTAGGATTTCAAGAATATTCAAAAAGAAAACTGTTGTGAGAAGGGAGCACACGGCATATTTTAACATAAGCTGAAAATAAAGTTTCTAAATGACAGTGTTTCCCAAACCAACTGATCACATCAGAATTATTTGGGGAGATAAATTAAAAATACATATTCCCTAAGTCCATCCCAGATGTGCTGAAGATATTTCAACACACACACATGCACACATGTGCACACACTCCTCAGTGGATTCTGACGCCCAGCCAGGTCTGGGAAACGTCAATCAAAGCAATCACTCACCTGAAATTTTAGTCATACGTTCGGCCTGTCTACTCAACTATCCACCTCAGCTTCAATATCATTGATCCTATGAAACTCACTGCTTCCTACAAAAATCCATTTTGCATGCACCACTCTAACTTACACGGGTGGAAATCTATCTCCCTCATGTTATGCCTGCCCCCGGGCAGATTCCGATTCCACGTGACAGCCCATCAGATATTTGGAGCAGCAAGCATTGCCACTTCAGGCAAATATCCCCAGGCCCCAGCTGTTCCTCATGGGCTGTGGTGTTGGGTCTCCTGAGCAGATGCCTCATAAAAATACGTGAAACCTAACTCCATTCGGTGATTAAGTATGCAAATTGCTCTTGCCAGAGGATACCTTTCTTCATTTCCCCCAGTCCGCCTTCTTGAAAGTCATACAAAAGGACAAGTCGGTATCGTTACACAAATTAAAATGCGTGCAAATATCCAATCTATAAAAACCCAGTCCCTCTCTCGGATGCTTCTGAAATCACTAAGGGCTCAGTGATCCAGCAGACAAGAGACACAACAAAGCCACTCTTTCCCCCACCTCTGACTTTTCAAAGAAAGCAAGCCATTCCACTTCCCCAGCATTATCACCAGAACTTGAACTGAAATCTACCCCCGCTCCCCAGGAAGTCCTTGGAGTTTCCTGATAAGCCCCTTTAACTCAGCCAATGTGCCCTGCAAGGAGAAAACAGTGTCCTCCTCCCTCCATGTCCTCCATCCTGCATCCGGCTGCCTTCACCTTCCCGGTTCACCTGTCGCTTACCTGTGTGCCTCTCACCTCCACTAACAGGTAAGGTTTTCTCGTTCTTGTGTTCCTTTTCGGCCCTGAGGACCCCTTCTTCCTGCTGCCTCGCTGCGTGGTGGGAACTGTAGTTCTGTCCCCAGGTGTCAGGTTTGGCGGCCTGAGAAAGTGAAAGGAAAGAGAAGCCCTCCCACCGCCCCGGAGCCCAGAGCTGCCGTTGGGCACAAGCCCAGATGAGGTGCTGGCCAGCACTGCCCTTGCACAGTCTGCGAACTTCTGGCACCTTGCGTGGCCAGTTAACTCAGCCAGTAAGTACCTGGTAAACCACCCTGTTCCTTCTCTCTACTCACCTTCTTTTTGCAGCTGGCCCCCGATCCACCTCCTCTGATTTTTCCTGCTGTCCGTTGTTTGACTGGGGTGTGGGCTCGAATGCAGGGAACACAATTTAAAGGACACGGATGTGGGCCTTGAGTCTTTTCACTCTTTCATGAATTTGAATTACTCTTCTTGGGGAGCTACTGAGAGAGGAGGCGATCCTAAGAGAAGATGAAAACACTAAAAGAACTTTGCACTGGTACAGGGTGAAGGAGCTGGAAAAACATTTCCGTTTCTAACAAGGGTTGAGTTTTAGGTCTAAGAAAACAGAGTTTATCCGTCCCCAGTGCTGGCAGAGGAAATATAAAGCTGAGGTAAAATTTCCTTATTTTTTTTCTCTCCCACAGAGTCCGGAAGAGTGACTGGTTCTCAGAACATAAAGACTATCTTTTCTCCACTATGGAAAATGTAACATTTGGCAGCAAAGCCACAGGTCCAACATGCAAAACAGAAACATCCGGATTGATAAAATATTTACATTGGTATAGTGTTTTCAAACCGTGGGCCGGGATCTACTAATGAGTCATGAAATCCATTTCAGTGGGTTGCAACGAGCTTTTTCAGAGGAAAGATCAGCAAAAACGTTTCAGAATGCGTCTCACGTAGGAGGCTGAGCCCTGTTCTGTGAATCGTTTGCTTGGTTGCAGGTCTCTACGGGTCCCCTGGGGGTGACGGAAAATGTACTTCTCGCTGTGGGTTCAGGTCTAGAAAGATCGAGAAGCATTGAAATTGAGGACCATTTGTTCACTGTCCAAGAACATTTCTCTCTATGATTGGTTCAGATAACCTTTGAAATATGATTTATCTTACTCCAAACTCCATTCACAGCTCAATTTTCAGGAACCTCTCTTTTGAGTAAGGTACACCCAATGCTGGCAGGTGGAGCAAGAAAACCCAGCCTGCTGCCAAATGCAGCTGCCGCAGACTGCCACTTTGAGAGCCGCGGTCGAGTGTCTGCCACTTGGAAATGAAATGTAGGTCAAGATCCACCACAAGCGTATGGGCAGGGGGCAGGAAGTAGCACCCCTTAGATGCCAGCGTCAATGAGGCTGGACGTCAAATGGTTTCTCCTCCTGGTGATGGCTACTGTTAAAGAAAAAAAAGTCAGCAGACTCAGACGCAGTATTTGGAGAACATCTAGAGGTGAATTCAAATGGTGAAATGTGCAGATGGTTATGGAAGCCAAGGAGGGATTCTGCCTCTCCCTACTTCGATCCTCTCCATCGACATGACTATATGTACAAAGAGGGTTAGGGTAGGAGGCATTCTGGGTGGTGGTGACCACGTTATATACGTATTTATATATACACACATATATTTACATCTACGTATTTCACAATATATACATTTTACCATTTTAACCATTTTAAGTGTACTGTTCAACGGTATTATATATATTCACAATTTTGTGCACCCATCACCACCATCCATCTCCAGAACCTTTTCTTTATCCCCAACTGAAACTGTATATCCGTTAAATAGTAACTCCTATTTCCCCTCCTCAACCCACTGCTGGTAACCACTATTCTACTTTGTGTTCCTATGAATTTGATTACTCTGGGTATTGCCCATAAATGGAATCATCCAATATTTGTTTTTGCGTGTGGCTTTTTTCACTTAGCATAATGTTTTCAAGGCTCGACCATGTTGTAGCATGTATCAGAATTTCATTCCTTTTTAAGTCTGAGTAATACCCTACTATGTATTTTTTTAAATAAAAGTGAAACCTTTGGCTGATTTATTGTTCACATCTCTCCAGCCACACCCTTACGTGACTGGAAACGAAACTACCGCTGCATTGCATAAATCCTCCTCCCTTTCTTTTCTTTCAAAATCTCTTTCTGTGTCCTTTTCAAATACATGCCTATCGTTATAATGGCCTGATAACCTGTGGCTAGTCCCATAACTCAGAACATTCCTTTGGGACCTGGCAACCGCCTTTGACATGTGAACATGCAGAGACATAGTATCCCTGTCTCTCAGCTCATGTGTGAAGGTAGGAGCCTAACTTTGGTGGACACCTTGCTCAGATCTGAAAAGACTACCTCCTGCCCTAAAGATATGAGAAGTTTATTTCCCTTCTGGATAAGCCAACACAGGTGGTCTCTCCAGCTACCGTGATATAGTTAGGATAAACCAGGTGTGACCAAGAGTCCTGTGGAGTCCTCTCACTCGAGGACTAGGGATTATCTTGAGAATCCGCTTGTAATGGCCTGTACCGGCTTGGCTGTGAAGGCCTGGCTAAGTAAGATGCAGATTCCTTTCTCTCTTTGCAATCTTAGTGCATTGCCTGTGATAAGCATCACATTCTGGATGAAGCCTTATTCACTAATAAACCTGTTTTGTACTCTACTACCTTTGTGGAGAGGTTTTCTGGGTTGGAGCTTGCTGTTGTTTTCCCCAACAGTTGAAAGCAACCCAGGAAGACAGAAAACTCATTCCAAGTTGAGTGTTGTAAGGCCTTTAATTTTTGCTCGAGGCTGCCAGGATCTGAATATTCATTTGTTTTGGCGGTTGAGGTGGGACGCAGAGCAGTGACTAATAGTGGCAGACTATGGGTATTTAATTAAACAGCAATCTAAAGTTTGCGCCCTGTGGCAGGTCAGTGGTACACTTAGCAACATGTTACTTTCTATGGAAACAAAGAGCGTAATAAAGCTTTTTGGGGAAAAAAGGGTGATGTATACACCATTTTCCCCCCTCCGGTTATATCCTATCTCTCCTTCACTGGTTTTCCCATAACTCTCCTGGACCGTATCCCCAGGGGATCCCCGCCCCGTCCCCGCCCCGTCCCCGCCCAGCAGCCTGGTCCACCGAGACCTAAACAGGTCACAGGAAGCAGCCCCACCCACCCAGTCCCTCCAGCCCTCACGATTGGACTACAACTCCCAGCATGCCGCGGGGACCGCGCGGGTCACGTGGGCGTCCGGAAACTCTGGCCGCAGGGCCGTGGGTGAGGTGGCGGCAGAGGCGGAGGCGGAGGCGGAGGCGAAGGTGGCCAGCAGGCAGCGGATCCGAGCGGAGTGAACGGGGCGGCGGGTCAGCGAACAGCGATTACTGTGGATCTCGGGTGCGCGAGCCGCGGGGAAGGGCCGCAGCCCGGCTTGGGGCGGCGGGGTGGGGGCGCCCTGGGGCGGGCAAGTGCCAGGGGCGAGGCCAGATGTGGAGGGCGGCGGCCGGTGGGTGGGGCGCCGCCGTGCGGGACCGCGGGCCGCACGCTCCTTCTACCCCGTAGCTTTGCTCCTCGATCCCCGGTGCTGCGGGGCCTGGCGCGGCGGGCGAGGACTGCAGCGGGAGGCTCCGGGAGGGCCCAGGGGAGAGTTGGGAGCCGGCCTGCGCAGCGGCGGGGGCTCTTGTGCAGCTTTGTGGTTTGACCCAGGTGCGGTATACTTTCCAGGCCGGGTGGGGACGCTTTTGGAAAGGGTGTGCGGAGACCAAAGAGGAAGGAGGGGGGTTAGTGGAGGTCCTGGATTTGGGTTTTGGGTAACATGGTCTCACACAAGAAATGTGGTTAAAGTTAGTTATTCGTCATTCCCTCAGTATTCTCATTTGCAGAATGTGGTCTGTTTACTCTCACTTTTGACAGAGAGGGGACAATGGGAATGGGTCCTCGAGGCTTTCCGAAAGGTTAAGATTGTGGGTGATGTTGTGGTAACTTCTACCGAAATGTTTATAGCGAGAAGAACATGTTCCTGGGACGAGCAAAATCTGATTGTTAATTGCCACCTTCTTCTTCAGTGCCTTTAGACTTGAATTATTTCTTTCCCATTTTTATTCTCTTTATTAACAATTTTAAATAGAAATAGATGAATTATCCTATTCATCTGTAAGTAAATAGGATAAGGGCCCTAAAGATCATTTGCCACCGTTTTTATATTCAAGATCTGAAAAGATTGATAATGATAACCATTCACCATAGAAATAAGATGTAAGTTCATTGATAACATCCTCAGATGAATTTCATTGTTTTGATTTAATTAAACATATTTTATTACTTATGCTATTACAGTTGTCCCAGTTTATCCTCCTTTGCCCACCTCTTCCTGGTACTCCAATTCCCTCCAGCAATTCTCCTCCTTAGTTCATGTTCATGGGTTGTGCATAGAAGTTCTTTGGCTTCTCCATTTCCTTTACTATTCTCAAAATCCTCATGTCTACTTTGTACCATTTATGCTTCTTAGTCCCTGCACCTTTTCTTCTATCCTCCCCCTTCCCCCGCCCAGCTGATTACCCTCCATGTGATCTCCATTTCTATGATTCTGGTCCTGTTCTGGTGGTTTGCTTAGCTTCGTTTTTTATCTTTTTTCCTAAGATTCAGTTGTTCATAGTTGTGAATTTGTTGCCATTTTAATGTTCCTAGTTTTGATTTTTTTCTTAAACAAGTCCCTTTAACATTTCCTTGTATTAATGGCATGGTGATGACAGACTCCTTTAGCTTTACCTGATCCGGGAAGCACTTTATCTGCCCTTCTATTCTAAATGATAGCTTTGCTGGATGGAGTAATCTAGGTTGTAGGTCCTTGCTTTTCATCACTTTGAATACTTCTTGCCAGTCCTTTCTAGCCTGCAAAGTTTCTTTTGAGAAATCAGCTGACAGTTTTATGGGAACGTCTTTGTAGGTGAGTCTCTGCTTTTCTCTTGCTGCTTTTGAGATTCTCTCTTTATCTTTAACCTTGTGCACTGTAATTATGATGTGTCTTGTTGTGGTCCTCTTCGGGTCCAACTTGCTTGGGCCTCTCTATGCTTCCTGAACTTGTATGTTTATTTGCTGAATTAGGGATGTTTTCTTTGATTGTTTCCAATAAATTTTCAGTTTCTTGCTCTTCCTCTTCTTCTGGCATCCCTATGATTCAGACATTGGTATGTTTGGAGATGTCCCAAAGGCACTTAATACTATCCTCATTTTTTTGAATTCTTTCTTCTTGCTGTTCCGGTTGAATGCTTATTTCTTCCTCATGTTCCAACTCGTTGATTTGAATCCTGGCTTTATCCCCTCTGCTCTTGGTTCCCTGTAGGTTTTTCTTTATTTCACTTAGTGTAACCCTCTTTTCTGCCTGGGGCTTTTTTGTGTTGTTATGCTCATTGAATTCTTTTTTTTAAAAATATATTTTATTGATTATGCCATTACAGTTGTTCTATTCCTCCCTTCATTCCCCTCCACCCTGCACCCCCCCTCCCCCCACCATTCCCCCCCCTTTAGTTTATGACCACGTGTCTCAAGTTCTTTAGATTCTATATTTCCCATACTATTCTGGCCCTCCCCCCATCTATTTTCTATCTACTGTCTATGTTACTTATTTTCTGTACCTTCTCCCACCTTCTCCTTCTCCCACTCCCCTGTTGCTAACCCTCCATGTGGTCTTCATTTCTATGGTTCTGCTCCTGATCTAGCTGTCCTCTTAGTTTGCTTTTGTTTTAGGTGTGGTTCTTAATAGCTGTGAGTTTGCTGTCCTTTCACTGTTCATTTTTTTTATCTTCTTTTTCTTAGGTAAGTCCCTTTAACATTTCACATAATAAGGGCTTGGTGATGATGAACTCCTTGAATTTGATCTTATCTGAGAAGCACTTTATCTGCCCTTCCATTCTAAATGAACGCTTTGCTGGATAGATCAATCTTGGAGGTAGGTCTTTGGATTTCATGACTTGGAATACCTCTTTCCAGCCCCTTCTTGCCGATAAGGTCTCTTTTGAGAAATTAGCTGACAGTCTGATGGGAACTCCTTGGTAGGTGACTGTCCCCTTATCTCTTGCTGCTTCTAGAATTCTCTCCTTCATTTTAATCTTGGCTAATGTAATGATGATGTGCCTTGGTGTGTTCCTTCTTAGGTCCACCTTCTTTGGGACTGTCTGAGCTTCCTGGATTTCCTGGAAGTCTATTTCCTTTGCCAGATTGGGGAAGTTCTCCTTTATTATTTGTTCAAATAAGTTTTCCACTCATGGCTGTTCCTCTTCCCCTTCTAGTACCCCTATAATTTGGATGTTGGAACGTTTAAAGATGTCCTCAAGGTTCCTAGGCCACTCCTCCTTTTTTTGAATTCTTGTTTCTTCATCCTTTTCTGTTTGGTCATGTTTTTTTTCTCTTTCTGGTCCACTCCTTTGATTTGAGTCCCAATTTCCTTTCCATCACTATTGGTTTCCTGTGCATTTCCATTCATTTCCATTCATGTTCCTCTAATTTGTGACTAAAATCAACTAGTTCTGTGAGCATCCTGATCACCAGTGTTTCGAACTGTGCATCTGAAAGTTTGGCTATTTCTTGGTTGCTTAGATTTATTGGCTCTGGGGCTCTGAGTTGTTCTTGAGCCGTGTTTTGATCTGTTCATGCCTGTTACGTATGAGGAGCGGAGCCTTAGGTGTTCACCAGGGTGGGGCTACCCAGGTCACTGGTTTGTGACGCTGTATGTGGGGGCGAGTCAGAGAGGGGCCACCCAGGTTGCTGGTTTGTGATGCTGTATGTGGGGGTGGGGTCAGAGAGGGACAGTGGCGGTCCCCTCAGCCGCATCCCTCCACTGGGGCCTTCACGGTCCGTCTCACCACTCGCTCCTTCACTGGTTTATCTGCGTGTGAATGTGTGACCATGATCAGCCCTCAGTGCGTCCACCTGCTTCTCCACACCTGGGATCTGCCCACGGCTGCTGGCGCACTTGGGTCGCATGCCTGGGTGGGTCCGGTGGATCTTCCCTGCCCGACCCCACTCTGCTGCTGGCTCTGCCCCTCTTACTGGTTTGGCTGAAGGGTTCGTTGTTGTCAGACTTCCGTGTAGTTCAATTTTCTGTGGTTTGGCTGCGTTTTTGTTGCTAAAACTTTGTTGTTTTTAAACTTGGTTGTGAGAGAAGGCACAGTGCTTCCACCTATGCCTCCATTTTGGTGGAAGTCCTCAATGAATTCTTTAAGCATTCTGATCACTAGTGATTTGAACTCTGCATCTGTTGGGTTGACTGTCTCGGTTTTGTTTAGCTCTTTTTCTGGGGCTTTGTTCTGTTCTTTCATTTGGGTCATATTTCTTTGTCTCCTCAATTTGGCAGCCTCCCTGTGTGTGTTTCTCTGTATTAGATAGAGTTTCTTTGACTTCCTGTCTTAGTAGCGTGGCCCTTTTGTAGAAAAGGCACCTGTAAATTATGCGGGGTGGGGCTTTAGGTAATTGCCAGGGAGGGGCAACTTGCTTCCTAGCTTTGTGGCTCATTTTTCGGAGGAAGGTTTGGAGAGAGGATAGTTCTACTGCCTGGCTTCTGGGGGTTATCTCAGCACTCACCCTGTTTGATGGGTGCCTTCCCACTGTTGCCCTGGTGCTGAATCCCAGAGTGGATGGGTGGGTCTGTGTATGTTTTAAGTCTATGCAGGCCTTTTAAGCTGTGTCTCCTGAAAATCCAGCAGTTTCTTCTGCTGCTCCAACCCCCACTGGTTTTTACAGCAAGAAGTTATGGGGATTTGTCTTCCTGGCACTGGAACCCTGGGCCATGTGGGCTGGCCTGGGGCTGGGATGGCTGGCTCCCAAGGTAACCCTCCGGGACTTTTATCCACCACGTGCAAATGTGGGACCGCCCATTCTGCCCGGCTGCCTCTCTGCACCACACCTTGTCTCCTGCGTCTCTGCTGGTCTCCATGTCTCTGCCCCGCCTACCTGTCTAGGTGAATGTGGCTTCTTTAAATCCTTGGTTGTCGGACTTCCATACAGTTTGATTTTCTGACAGTTCTGGGTGTTATTTGTGTTGAGGTCTAGTTGTAATTCTGTGGTTGCCCGAGGAGGCAAAGTGTTTGTCTACGCCTCTATCCTGACTGGAAGTCTGTTATTATTTCTTTCAAATAATTCAAAAGCATACCTGTATCTCAAAACCAAAACAGATCATCGGTTTGTTGTAAAAGGCTGTAACTCAGGAAGAGCTGGATGGAAGAGACGCACAGGGTGAGACTCGGAAGAGGGCACGGAGCGTCTGTGTGGCCTGCATCGCTCTCCCAGGACCCCCGCGTGCTCACCAACCTTCTTTCCCATTTGTGGACTGTTCACTGCGCACCCAGCTCTGCGCTAGCCCCTCTCTTAAATGATCTCTTCTGATCTTTAAGTAAGGAAAT